TGTCTATCCATCAGTCCATCGTCCATCCATCATCAAAAGTGTATTTCCTCACTACTCAGCACTGAGCATACAGAAGTGACTCGGTCCCTACATTTGCCATGCAGGAGTTCACTGTACAGTTTCTTTATTTTGACGCTGCCCTCACGAGAAATAACTGGTTGCACTCTGGTCTGGTTTGCTTGCTATTAAGAGAAAAACACACAACGAAAATGATATTAATTTTATTGCATCATTTTACTGACTATAACGCCAGACTTAAAGTGGATATAAGTATAAAAATAACTGAATTCTTACAAATAATACTTTGCTGCTACAGTACTGAATAATCAGTGGAGGTTGCAATTATAATACAACTTTAAATAACATTCTTATAATGGATTTAACACAATCAACCAGGGGCTAAGGTTTAAAGGTTTACAAAGAGAAATCCAGGACAATGTGAAAACTCAAAGTTCATTTTCCAGCTACATGCTTCACTTAACTGTAAATCCAGCAACACAAACATTAACAAAACGCACAGCAACTCATGAGGAAACAATCATCTTTTCACAACAGGCCAAGGTAATATAGAAAGATAAGTGAGTTGGATTAGTTTCCCAGGCAGACTGATCCATCCTGTCCCTGTCCTGTCCCATATTTCCTACCCAAGAACACCACTGAAGTGCATTAGATGCATCCAAAAAAAGATAAAACTAGAATCTAATATGCAAATTCTTTGAAAAGTTCTTTGAAGTGCCAAGGGACACAGCCGGTTTAGGACCTGTCTTTTTAGACCTAAGTGGTCCCCTTTGGTTTCACAGGCTTTTCCATAAGCAGTTTACACCAGATATGATGGAGTGTAACACAACTGAAGATACTTCAGTACACAAATTAATTGGCATTTAATATTTTAATGTTCCTACTATTTTAACCAGTTTCCTTCTTTGGGGATTTGAGAAAAGAAAAAGAAAAAAAGAACACATAGCATAAAAAACCATATCTCAGGGGGTAGAGGGAGGAGTGAAAGGAGGAATTGGTAAAGGGACACAAAAATCAACCACATTGTATATTGATAAATCAAAATAATCCAAACCAAACCAAACCATATCCGTTTCCAAAAACACACATGAGAACCTCAGAATGATGCTTTGTCAAGAAGAAATGAACTGTCTCTTTTAATCCCCACAAAAGCTTTCAGGTAGAAAAAATATCTCTGATATTAAGGGTAGTTTTAAATAAAATACAAAATACTGAACTTTGTATTCTTCCTTTCTCCAAAGAAGTACTTACTCTAGTCTCAAATCCAGTGTATTTTAGAACTAGGGGTCAAAACCCTAGTTCTGGGTGTGTCAGGCTACACTTAGCCAGGGGCAAGTGGACTGGACAGCTCTGCTTCTTCAGGCACAGCTAAGCAGGTTACAGGGTGCCTGGGCAACATGGCTTAATGCGGGCACCAAAAGCCACACGCGAGGGATGATGCTAATGTACGTGCCTGCTCTGGGAACTTTCACATCTGAATAGATCATCCTTCAAAGACCATACAGCCTTGTATTTCAAAGATGCTGACTTCTCCTTTTGGCCAACTTTAACAGTCATCTCTTCAAGAACTCAATAGTCACATCTTAGTCTTTGACCTCGAATGCTATCAGCCAGCTCGACTGCACCATCCATTCAGCAATTTTGGTTCTAAATGACTTAGCTGCTTCTGAAAATAAACTTCCCCTCAAAGCAGGAAGAGCTGTCAGCATTTAAGACATTCAAATGAATATGTTCCCTACTCTGAAAATGGTTTGCAAAAATACACTTCCAACACGTGCGAGTCGTGGCCTTACTATGAGAGCAAGGCCAGGCAGCCCTCAGATGGATGCATAAGTCTGTGCTTGTCAAAAACCCAGGACCATCATATTACACTTCCTACAGCCAAAGCCACGTACCAATGTGCCTCTTGCTGAGCACAAGCCAGCCACTATTTTCTTAATGATAACCACAAATGTCCAAGAAATATATGAGGGTACTTCAAAAAGTTTGTGGAAACAAAGAATTAAAAGACAATACAAATCTTTCCACGAACTTCTTGAAGTACCCTTGTATGTAAAAACCAACCTGAAAAGATATTTTCAAAAGGGCATTCAACATTTTTTTTGCACTTCATGTCATCAGTTTGGGTACTGCTTAATAATATTAAGGTTCTAAAAAAAAAAAAAAAAACTTATTAAGCCCATTCTCTCTTTCCTTCTTTGATGTTTAAAGTACACTGGATGGTGAGATGTCTGCCAGGAAGGTGGGGCAGGCAGACACAGTGGAAAGAATGACAGGGTGAGTCTGGCAGCCTGGGGTTTGCATCCTCTACAAGCAAGTTCTTTATCCTCTCCGAAGGTTTCTCTTTCTGAGAAATGGCACTCTCACACCCACCTCACAAGGGTGCTGTGAGGAGCCTTGCATGGAGCCTGGTCATGGTAAGAACACAAGAGATGTTAGTTTATTCTCCTAAAGAAACAGACTCCAGCGCCCTGGCCTGGCTCATGGTGCACAGAGGAAAAGAAAATGGAAATAAGACCCTCTGGAGCTTAAAACCACTGATGCCACGAAGCCAGCCAGTGCCCCCTGCTCTGAGTCGGCATGCTACAGACACAGGTTCCTTTTGCCTTGCTCCTCCCTACAAAGTTTAAGTGTTTCATAGGCAGTTAAGCATTACTCTTCCCTTCCCCCCAACTTCCTCCGGCTGTGGGGTCCCACTGCAGGGCGGTGGCATTTCTGTGCACATGAATTGCACATTCCACATGCAAGGCTGACACTGAGCACTTGTGCCCAAGCTGAGAGATTCCGCGTGCTCTGCAGTGCACGAACCGCTGCTGCCCTGCCAATGTTTCCTCCAGGCCCAGGCAGGACCCCTCTGGAGATATGGCCCCTCAGAACCAGTGAACACAGCCTATCCCTGCCTCGCCCAGGGCGGGCAGCAAGCACTCGGTGACACTCAGGCTCCTCTCATGCCTTCTTAGAACCTCATGCTCTGGAGATGCCTCTTCACAAGCCTCCTGGAAATCGCAGATACAGTGTGAACTTAACCTTGCAGGGTGCCTCCTTTTTTCACAGCAAAAAAAAAAAAAAAACCCAACAAAATAAAACACTCTTAATACACTCCATATAGACAAAACCCAAGAACAAGAACGCATTCTTGGAACTCACTCTTTTCTGGACTTTGTGATTCTTCCTAAGAATGTTTTTGGGAGAGAACACTTCATTGTGTGGAGGTGAAAGCCTCTGGCAGTGAAGTACACACCTGGGCATAGTCTCCCTCTGTGGCTCTTCCACAACTATGGGTCCTGGGGATGAGCAGGGATGTGGAGCAAGAAGCCAGGAAGTTGGCACCTCACAAAGGATCCAATCTGTGGGCTCAGGTGAGCTTCATGCAGGAGCCAGGAGCTCTCCAGTTAAGACATGTGGCAGCGAGGCAGTAAGGGCCATTTGGTTCCACAGAGAGATAGATGCAAGACCCAAGATTTCAAAAAGATGATGCTTTGAAATTTTCAGTTCGCATCCACTGACAAAAACAGAACTTTTCCTGTATTTATCTCATGAGATGAATGCAGTTTAACTACTAAAGGCATCACACCTGACTAGTGTTCCTGCTCTAGCAGTGTGATGATGAGTTGTGGAGACCACAGGACACAGGAGTTCACACTTAGAACCGTTAGGACAAGGGTTACATAAGAATAAGGATTACACACGTTTTGAAGAGATTAGAGACCCCTGAAGAAACAACCATGCCCAGGGCAGAATGGTCCCCAACGGCTGCACCATTTTCAGAAATGTGTATCCCACTGAGCTCCCAGCTTCAGGGTGGGAACAATTCTTTTACCTCTGTGTTTGCTTTGCTTCATTCAAAACCAGGATGTTCCAAAAGCAGATGAATAAACACAGTTCCACAGGGAGCAGTTAAAGACACTGAGCACTGGGTATACCTCCCTCGCAGACCCATGTCACAGGCACAATAAATAAGACACGTAGAATTTCCTTTCCAAAAGCAAACTCTCAGATCTCTAACTGGCCAGAAGTCTCTAGTTCTCTAATGCTGACTTGAATTATAACTGCATTTCTGGAGGGCACTACACAGTAGCATAGAGAGGTGCAAATGACTGTGTGAGAGAGCATAAGTTATTTCCTCAATGAATAAATAGCTTTGAGTGGTTGAAAGTTTACACTGAGTGTGCGGACGAGATGATGGATACAAAGATGCTGCACCAGCAGGTAAATAAACCTACCTGTGGCTCCATCCTCGCTCCCTATTCTTCTCAGGAATCCACATGGCTTCCCAAAGCACTGGTAATGCAGAAAATCTAATTTGGGGCCGGCCCAGTGGCGCACTCGAGTGCGGCGCTTGGGAGTGCGGCGGCGCTCCCCCCGAGGGTTCAGATCCCATATAGAGACCGGTCCGCTCGCTGGTTGAGCGCGGTGTGCGCGCAACGCTGAGGGTTGCGATCCCGTTGCCGGTTGCGGTGCGAGCGTGACACCGAGAGTTGCAATCCCATTACCGGTCATGAAAAAAAGACAAAAAGGAAAAAAAAAAAAGAAAAGAAAATCTAATTTGCCTATTCAGCCCGTTCCTCTAGCCACATTCAGCTGCAGGGACTACGTCATGCTGCTTTTCCTAGAGTGGTGAAATACTGGCTCAGACCCAACCTGTGTTCAGCCTTCCATTTCTACTCCATGCGCAGCAGCCTCTGGCCTCAGCAATGGTGGTCAGAGTCCCAGGCCCCATGCCATGCCCACAGGGATGAAAAGTGCCCCACTGCCTGCAGGCCAGCCCCCGGTTCTGCCTGCTGGGCCTCACTATGGGGCAGCTGGATGCCTCTAACTAAAACCAAACGTAAGTTGTTTTGCCCTGATTCAGACTTGTTTGAAACAGTGAGATTTAACTGCAAAGGGGGGAAAAAACATATTAAATAAATGTGTCAAATAAATTGGAGTCATGTGCTGGGCTTCACAGGTCTCAATTCCTCATTTTGGGGCTGGCTTGGAAACTGTAGCATGAGACAACCTAGAAACACGATAACACTGTACATTCAGCTGCAGCGTCTTCAGACCTTAGTGGTATGTTCCTCATCATCTGTTGTTTAGCACGTAAGCAACAGGCAGGAAAATGACTAACGAGCCCGTACTTTGCTGCAAATTCATCACCAAATTGTGGCCTACAGATGTGTTTCAGGTAAAGAAGGCTTCTTTCTGGAACAGTCTTGACACAAATCCCAAAGTAAGCCTCCATACCCAATTTACTAAAGTGCAAACTAAGGGAAAACTGGGTTTTTGCAATGATACCTACTGATCTACCTTGGCTAAGAGTCACCCCTAGTGCCAGTGCCATGTGGCAGTCACTCAGAGAGACTCTCCTGGTACTGGTCCACGTTCACGTTCACAGTAACAGCAAAGGTGCCAAATAAGCAGCCTGTGGTCCACATCCATGTGTCTCCTTCCACTGTGGTCATGCCCCTCATTCCTGTCCCCCTTTCTGCCTGCCACTCAAGTGTGGCTCCAACAAGTCCTGGGAGCAGCCAGTGTGTGGTGCCCCTTCCTGGGGCAGTCCCTCTGAGCGACAGAGACCCCAGGTGACTGGCTCAGAGCAATGGTCTCTCCATCTCTCCTGGCCTTAAAAGTAATCTCTTCTCCTGCTCTCGTCACTGATGAAAGATGGGTTATACTGTCCAGGGAAAATGCAGGAATGTCGTGATCCCGGCAATCCAGTGTAGGCCAGGTACAGTCCATTTCGTTCAAGTTCAGGATTCCTTACATTTGTGGGCTGGTTGCCAAAAAAAAAAAAAGAAGGAAAGTCCATTTATTATTCTTGGGTTGAAGTGTTAAAATAACAAAAAAGAGAGAACACTACATTTAATAAGATAGAGGCAGCAATAAATAGCAGAGCAATGGGCCGGCCTGTGGCTCACTTGTGAGAGCGTGATGCTGACAACACCAAGTCAAGGGTTAAGATTCCCTTACTGGTCATCTTTTAATAAACAAACAAACAAACAAACAAACAAACAAACAAACAGCAGAGCAAGATCTGATCCAGAAGTCAAGACCCTCACAGGTCCATCCCTCCAGGAAACTTGAGAAAGTTTTGCCCTGATTTTAAAAGGGGATTTAAAAAAACATTAATCAAGGGCAGCCCAGTGATTTCAGACCAATGTAGGAAAATACCTGGGTTTGTCCTTTATGATGTGGTTCTACTGATTATTATCTTTTTTTAAAAAAGTGTTTGCTAAGTCTTTTTATTTTTTTATACTGAATATTATCTTAATTTTTTACAAGTATATTTCTCTGTGGAGCACAGCTGGCTTTAAATCCTCCCTGGCATTTATTTATTTTTTATTTTTTATTTTTTTTGTCTTTTTCCATGTCCGGCAACGGATCGCAACCCTCAGTGTCGCCCCCGTACCGGACCAGGACCGGTAACGGGATCGCAACCCTCGGTGTTGCCCCCGCGCCTCGCTCAGCCAGTGAGCGGGAACCGGTCTGTATGTGGGATCCGAACCCTCGGCGGGAGCGCCGCCACGCTTCCCAAGCGGCGCACTAGCGCAGTGCGCCACCAGGCCGGCCCCTCCCTGGCATTTAGCAGAGGGCAATTGGCAGGTATACGGGAGCTGACTGCAAGGTCTTACGACCACCTTGTTGGAAGTGGAGCTAGAACCCCAAACCAGAAGCCCCACATTGATTCTCAGGTGTCTCTGAACAAATACCAGTTTAGTGGGTCCTGAGCTATCTATTTAATCTGCAAAAACAGTTCCCTGGGAATAACAGGGGCTACTTGGAGGAGGCCCTCATAGTAGCACCAGAGGTAAATCTTTCATGGCATAAAACACTAGATACTGTGAGAATCACCTGGACCACACCTGAGCACATGGTGAGGAACAGCTCATCCACTCAGGTGACAGCTTCATGCCGTAAGCTCAGGCTCTGCTTCTACAGACTGCCCAGCCTACTATTTTTGAAATGAAGATGGGGTTCATTTAAGTTCTTGACTACATCTATTTACGGCAACTCTGTAGCTAACACCATGGAAACATGCAGTGAAGTTACTGCACCCTGCTGGGGCTGAGGATTCCCTAGCAAAGAATGTGAGTTTGCAGGCACACCCCTGCTTAGTTACAGCTTCAGTTAGTAATTACGGAAAAAAGCAAAGCCCTGTCAGAAATATCAATCAAAACGTTTTCACTAGAGCTAAGTCAGTGTCTACGTTTACCTTTCCCCTTATTTCTTTTTGTCCTTTCACCAGGTTCAAAGTTTTCAGAGTCCATTGAAACAAAGAACTCCTTAGCATCAACAAACACCCTCCTACCCAAAGTCTGCATCCTCATGGTTAATTCCCATAGCAACCAGAGCGGTTGTGGTTTCTGTAACAAGACTGTCTAGTGCCATTAAGCCCCCATGTTTTCTACACCTCAAATAGCTCCACATGGCATGAGAAGTCACCTGTCATCTGTTTATTTTTCAGCTCAGATATGCCATTTGCATTTACTTTACGGCTGACAGTGTAACGGGAAGCGAACTGGGCAGTGATTGCATGGGAATTTGACATGGGCTAACTTCACTGTGGGGCAGAAGAAGCAAGGGTTCGAGGTAGTCTCCTGTCTTTCCAAATGATGCAATCCAGGACCGGACACAGCAAATTACTAAAGACCTATGGAGTATCTAATCTTCTCAACCTCTGACACATGCTTGTTGAGGATGACATTGAATTGTTCTCTTTAAATCTTTTTCCAGTTGCCCAGTTTTAACTACCTAACTACATGAGGCAAAGCCTGGTGGACAAGAGATGAAAATGAAAGGGCCAAAGGCTATCTCCAAATTCCTCCTCTGCCTTTCAGTTTCCATTCCTGCAACTTAAGCAAGCTCAGTAACAAGAGGGTTATTGCTACAACCCCATAAAAGTAATGTGCTCTATGGAAATACCCTTCGTATTTCAATATCAAAACTGATAAACACCATGCAAATAGAACATAAAGAAAGGGATATTAACATATGTAAATAAGAGGCCCACGCTACCATTCTCTTCAACCCTTATCTAGCTGTAATGCTTTTACTCCAACAAAACAGAAGCCCTTTACTTCTCAGAGGAAACCGGAGCCCTGAGGTTGCCCTGGGCACAGGAATACACACCGAGTAGTACACATCAGTCATCTGGAGGAGGTTTTTGGTACTTCCATTCTCATGCATTTCAATAGCTTCTCGGCCCCATTCTTGAGAACGAGGATTCTTGGGGTACTCAGCATATGGGGACATTTGGAAATCTCCGCTTTTGAAGATGAGTTTGCTTATGTCATTTTTATTCTTTCTGTGGGGTAAAAAAAAATTGAAAAGTTCAATGAATAAATTCTGTGAAAGCACCAACTAGTATTTTGCAGTGTAAATTAGACCCAAAGCTACCATTATATTTCTTTGTAGCTACCCACTGAGGAGTGTTACTATTGTTGTTATTGTTTTTAGTATTTGCCTAAAACAAGTAAAAATGCAATTAGGTACAAAAAAAGATGCAAAAAGTCTTCCAACCCAAAAAGGTCAGATTACCAGGGGCAGAGAGGACAAGGATAGCTGCGATGGAGCAGACTTAGACTCTTCTGGGAACAGAGACCACTGTATCTTGGGGTGGCCAGGGAAAGGCAAACCATAAATTCACAGAACACTGGAGCCAGAAGGGCCCTCAGAATTCTAGTCCAATGGCTCCCAACCTGCTTGAGCATCAGAATTCACATGGGAAGAGTGTGGGTCTCACCAGGTTTAATCAATCAGGAGCTCTGGGGTTGGGGCAGCTCTGGTTCAATGAAGAGCCCTTACTGTCCCCTGAGTCACCTTTTGCTGATAGCAAAGCTGGGACTAGAATTCAGGCCTCCCAACTCCCCAGCCAGTGCTCTTTCTACCACATGAAGTTACTTCACAAATCATAAAAGTGGAATAGTTTACAAGAAAGCCCACCTGTTTATATACCTGTACATATATTCTCATTTCAGCAGGTCTGAGAAAACCTATTTGGGAGATTTCACAGACTGTAAATTGTCAGGATATGTGTTCTTCACCTGTCTCTAGGATCATAATTTTAAATTATATTTGCCCTGGGTAAAATAACCGGAAGTTTCTTCCTTGTACCTCATTTACCTATAAATGATCTTGGGGTGGCACGAAATGATTGGTCATAAGACCAAATGTCCAGCATCCAGCTTAGGCGCTGGCCTTCTGTACAAGTTCAGAATGGACCTGCCACTGTGCTGCTCCCAGGTGAGTGGGGTATCAGGTCTCAAACAATGACTTACTTGTTCATAACTGCCTTCCCTTCTCAGTATCCAAGAGACACAGGCTCCTTCCCAAATGGCTATACCACTGTACAGAACGTGGAGCAAATATGAGGCTTATATCCCCTTGAGAAATCAGGTTTCGTCCTTCTAGATAACTGCTCCTAATCTCATACCCAGAAGTTTTCTTCTACTCATATGGTTTGTCTTTGATGATCTGATAGCAATTTGGTGAATAACAGGCAAAGGCTATATTATAAGGCCTGCATTCCTGAGCGAACAGTTAAGAGCAAATTGCTCTCAAGGCCTTACTGGAGATAGAGGCTATCTTAAAATGTCCTTCAGGTCAATGGGAGAAAAGATAACTTGATATTTTGGTAGGTTCCTTCCATCTGTTATGTCCAGATAATGCCTACCATTTATTATCTAATCAGAGGTTGTTATTTTCTGTATCTGAATAGAAAATCACAAGAAAGGGGGATCACTTCCCTTCTTTCTCTTCCTTTTCCAAAATGAAAGAAAAAAAACCCAAAAGCAAAAAACCAATAAGCCATACCTACTGGCTTCCAGGAAGCCTAGAGCCAAGTTTACTGCTCATCCCACAATGCTGCTGTCACGTCTCTACTGCTAGTGTTTCAGGCAATCCCTTTCACCATTCTTCGTCTGCTTCTCTCTCTACATATATACTGTATAGCTTTCCTGACACAATTCATATACCATACAATTCACCTATTTAATGGTTTTTAGCATATTCAGTTATGCAACCATCATCACAATCAATTTTAGAAGTTTCATCATGCCAAAAAGAAATCCCATAACCCTTAGACATCACTCCCCAATTCTCCTTCTCCACCACCCAGTCCTAGGCTACCACTGATCTACTTTCTGTCTCTATTAGATTTGCCTATTTTAGACAACTCATATAAATGGAATCACACAATAGGTGGTCTTTTGTAACTGGCTTATTTCACTTAGCATAACATTTTCAAGGTTCATCCATGTTATAGCATCTATCAGTACTTCATTCATTTTTATGGCTGAATAATATTCCATTGTGTGGATATACTACATTTTGTTTGTCCATTCTTTAGTTTATAGACATTGAGATTGTTTTCACCTTTTGGTTATCATGAATAATGTTGCTATGAACATTCATGTACAAGTTTTTGTGTGGATATACATGTTTTCGTTTCTCTTGGGTATATGAGGATAGTTCAAAAAAATCATGGAAAAATGGAATTAAAAGATAATATGAATCTTTCCATGAACTTTTTTTTTTTCCTTTTTGTCTTTTTTACTGACCGGTAATGGGATCGCAACCCTCGGTGTCGCGCCCGGACCGGGGACCAGCAACGGGATCGCAACCCTCGGTGTTGCGCCCGCACCACGCTCAGCCAGTGAGCGGGAACCGGTCTCCACATGGGATCCGAACCCTCGGCGGGAGCGCCGCCGCGCTCTCAAGCGGCGCACTCTCCAGTGCGCCACCGGGCCGGCCCTTTCCATGAACTTTTTGAAAACCCCTCGTACACCTAAAAGTGGAAGTGCTGGGTCAATGATAACTTTGTTCTTAAATTTCACATTTTCTCAAAATGGCTGTACCATTTTACAATCCCACCAGTAGCACAAGTTCTAATTTTTCCACATCCTTGTCAATACTTGTTATTTTCTGTTTTTTTGGTTGTTGTTTTTTTTAAATGGCCATCCTAGTGGGTGTGTAGTGGCATCACACTGTGGTTTTGATTTGCATTTCCCTGATGACTAACAATGTCAAGCATCCTTCATGTGCTTACTGGTCTTTTGTGCATCTTCTATTCAAGCCTTTTGTCCATTTTTAAACTGGGTTGTCTTTTTATTATTGAGTTGTAAGTGTTCTTTCTATATTCCAGATAGCAAGTCCCTTATTAGACATATGATTTGCAAGTATTTTCTCCCATTCTGTGGGCTGTCTTTTCACTTTCTTGATAGTGTCCTTTGGAGCGCAAAAGTTCAATTTTGATGAAGTCCAATTTACATCTTTTTTCTTTTGTTGCTTGTGCTCTTGGATGTTCATTTTTTAATAAAGAAAACAAAGTCCTACATACTCTCCATCTCTTTCCCAACACGCACGAACTATCATGAATTTCCCATCCTCCCTTTTACTAACAGTTTAGTCACATGTTATCATTTAGTATGATAAACACCTCAAGCATTCTTTGAAAGAGTAAAAACTGACCCTTGCATAGCACAAAGACACAGGGTTGGAATTTGACCTTTCATTACTTACCTGCAACAGGTAACTATCAGTGCAATGCCCAGGATAAGGAGAAGCCCACCTCCTGCTGCTGCAATTACCACAGTGATGAGCTGATAGGCTAAACATGTTAAAGGAACAAACAAAAAAAGTGGATTGGTAGGAGGTAATGAAGGAAAGAGTGAATACTAAAGACTGGTCTCCCCTCTGACCCCACAGCCACCATCCTGACTCAGCTGGTGACCTCACCTTCCTCTTCCTGATCTCTGCAAGGGATCCTCATGGCTATCTCTACATTTTCTCTGCACTGAGAAGAGTACCCTTTTTTAGCCACTCCTGGAATGGAGACTCCTCAACTCTACCTGCAGACCAGCCCCTGATGACACTTTTACCATCCATGGTAAAAAGAGAAAAATAAAGGTGAATAATGAGTTTTTCAGTAACTTAATGTGTCCCATAAAAGTAGCTGTTCCATAAACTAAAATTCTGTCCTTCCTACTTTTTTCTCTCACTAAAGATGGGTGCCTTTTATCATGTGTAAATTAAGCCATGGTGAATTTGATTTTTAAAAAAGTAATGAAAACAGAATCTTCGCCACTTCCCACCCTTTGGTGTTAATTATTGTTTGATTTTTTGAATTGGTGGTGATGAAACTGGGCCCCCATAAGGATTTCTCTTAAAAGCTTTTCTTTTCTTCCTCGTGCTCATTTACATAGCCTCTGTATACTTAAGGGTTAAGAACCCGAGCTGAGTTTCCCTCCTATTTCTTCCACTTTCCTAATCAACCTTTGTGAACAAAGGTACTCCAAAGAGAGGCCAAGCTGATTATTAACCTATGTTCTTGCTTAAAGAAAATTGCGTTATATGTGTACATTAGTCAAGGGTTGAGATTATTGTCTTTAGTTTTTCCTTAGGAAACACCACCAACCACAGGCTCCACGATGCCAGAGACCCTGACATATGACGCAACACACCTGCTAATCATGACCCCCCCCAACCTCCTTGCACGCACCTGCATTCCTTCCCTCCCTTTAAAGCCTTAAACTTTAGTCAGTCTTAGGGGCAGGCTGACACTGTTCTCCCGTTCTCCTGGCTGTAATAAAATCCTCCTTCCTCGCACACCGATTGGCTCTCGGTGCAAGGAGCAACTGAACTCAATTAGATCTTTACTGCTTGGTTACAGTGGACAGTAGATATAACAATTCTTTTTTTTTTTTTTTTGTCTTTTTGTCTTTTTCCGTGTCCGGCAACGGATTGCAACCCTCAGTGTTGCCCCCGTACCGGACCAGGGACCGGCAACGGGATTGCAACCCTCGGCATTGCCCCCGCGCCTCGCTCAGCCGTAATAACTTCGTATAGCATACATTATACGAAGTTATCGGAAAAAGAAAAAACAAAGAAATTGGACTTCATCAAAAATAAAACTTATGCTTCAAATGATACCTTCAAGAAAATATAGAGACAACCATAAAATGAGAGAAAGTTTTTGTAAATCATCTACCTAAGGGACTTGTGCCTAGAATATATATAAGAACCCTTACAATTCAACAATAAAAAGACAAATTTTAAAAATGAGCAAAGGGGGCTGGTCCATTGGCTCAGCACGTTAGAGTGTGATGCTGATGACACCCTGTGCTGGCCAGCCACCAAAGAAATAAAAAACGAGCAACATACAGACATTTCTCTGGAGAAAACATCTAAATGGCCAATAAGCACATGAAAAGATGCTCTGCTGTACGGCTCGGGTGGGAGCGCCGCCGCGCTTCCCAAGCGGCGCACTTATCCAGTGCGCCACCGGGCCGGCCCGATATAACAATTCTTGATTCAGTTTTAGGTTCTCACTTGATAACTAGCACAGGTACCTGATTACTACAAAAAACCATTAGTTTTAAGATATACAGGAAACAAAGCCAAACCATGGCATGAACTCATTCTCTCCCTTACCACCTGATGGTATTCGGAAGTTTCTCTTTTAACAAAAGTGAAGACAGACAAATCTCTAGAATGTATCTACTTTCTTCATCTCCACCAACACCGTCATAAGCTACCATCATCTTGACCTGACAAGTGCCCCCCAACTCATCAGCCTGTGCCCAGGCTTGTCCACACATTAGAAAAAGCAAATCTGATCATGCCATTTCCCTGTTTAAAAGAACTTCAGAGGCTCCCTTTGTTCCTAAAGACCAAAGTCTAGCTCCTACTTATCTCTCCACACCAAGTTAAATGTTCTCACTCCCAGCAAAATAAGCAAGCATCCATTTAGAAGTGACCCTTGCAAGTGGTTGCAGTAATAGTAGGGACCTCTTTGAAATGGCAGTTTTGTGTAAAAAGAGACACAGATGATGTAGACCAGTGCTTCTTGAACTGTCTGCAGTCAAGGACCAGTTTTTGTTTGTTTGTTCCTCTGGATAGTCTTTTTAAATAAACAAAGTCCCGTTTTTTCCCCTTGTCGTCCCCCACAGGTATCATGAACCTCCCCTTTCTTTTTTAAAAGAGTTGACTGTGGACTGATACGTTTGTAAAACACAATAAAACTATTTTTTACAGCCCCATGCTTGGATGTCGCAACCATTTCAAATTAATATGAGGGTTTCTGAGTGTTTACCTTCCATTTTGGGGTTATCTTGTCACATCCTGCGTGTGAACATACCCAGTAATGACTGCCCTCCACTATGACAATTTCCCATATGATCCTGTCACTTTCTTCCGAGGCTTCTGTCCCGTCTGCCTCACCAAACAATCTTTCCTCATAGGAAGATCAAATAAGCAGCAGTATTTCTCTCTGCCCAAGCCCGCTTCCCTTCTATTCTGACATGAAGAAAAGGCCAGTCAAGATGCCTACTTTTAGCTGAATGAGACTTCCAGCTGACTTCTGGATCATTAATGACATCTCCTTCCTCCTAGGCAGTTTAGTGCCATCTTCCTAGATGTTTGTTCTTGGTGACTCCTGCCAACACGCAGCATTTCCACTGGTCTGAATCTTTCTATAGCCCAATTCAATGACAGGGTGAACACAATTATACACCTGCCACCTGACTGTCGGTTGTAGTGAAAAGGCAATGTGGAATGATCTTTAAGTGGAATGTTCTGGTTTCACTGGAAGAGGACTTTATACAACTGCCACCCAACTGTGGGTTGGAGTGGAAAGACAATGTGGAATGATCTTTAAGTGGCATGTTCTGGTTTCACTGGAAGAGAACTGTAAATGATCTAAATCCTTGCTGGCCATGTGGAGGCTGGTGGCGAAGAGTCTCCACTGAAGAGACACAGAACCTTTGAATGGAAAGGATGACTTACAAAAAGGACATGTGGTGAATAGGAAAGAGGGATAGATAACAATGCCTGTGGCCAGCAAAAAGTAATCTAGAAAAATTATACGAGTTCTGTAATCAAAAAGTGACAATAACCTTAAAACAGAAAAATGGCTTACAGGAAGGGATTTTTTAAAAGTAGTTTTACCTTTAAAACAGATTTTTAAAAGATAGTAAGAGAGGAATGGCTAAGTAAATTATAGTACGTCCACAGAGTAGAATTCCTTAGAACTATCAAATGTGATAAAATTACGTAAATGAAAATATTTCATAGGTTTAAAAGGTTACAAAACATTTCCAGTAAGATCCAATTTCTGTTAAAAAGATACATATCTCTTGAAAGATAACTAATACCAGTTCTTCTCAAACTTTAATATGCACACCAATCTGCATATAAACCAAGTCTATGGATCTGGTTAAAATTCGGATTCTGAATCAGTAGGTCTGGAGTGGGGACGCCTGAAATTCTGCCTTTCCAGAAAGCTCCTAATGGCCCTATGGACCACACTTACAGCAAGGAAACGGGATGCTTCATGGGTGATGAGATTGTTTACTTTAGTTCTCTTCTTCCCTTAATTTATATCTATTTTCTAATTAACTTGGGTTAAAAAAAAAGGAAAATTAGTGGGTATGCATTCTTTTATGGTATGGAAAAACAAAATTAAATTATTTTAAAAAGAAAAAAAGTAAAGCAAACCAAAGTATCATGGGAGATATTATAACACTGTGAGAAGGAATCAATATAAATGTAAAAAAAGCAGCAGAAGACACCTGCATGACTAAGAAAAGGGTGGAGGGGCATAGAGAAGAGAAGGACACGTCTGATAACAAATTTGTGAAAGAATTCTGGGGCCATTTGACAAATGGTATAAGAAAAAAGAACTGTTGGAATCTGGGGTATGAACAGAGATACATTTTGCATGGACAAAAAATAAAAAGAGTAGTGATAAGACAGATACAGACCTGAGCTGTCCAGGGGTGGGTGGCCCTGCCTCAGCCAGGTCAGCCAGGCTGTCCTTCCTCAGGGATTAAAGACTGGAGAGGAGGGCTTGTCTTGCCTTTTCCAGTTTGAAGAACATTCTCTATGAAGAATGAGGACTGGTATCTGGGCACATCTAGAAAGCTAACTGAAACTTTTAGAAGGGCAGGATACAGGCTACGTCCATCATACACTGGAGTCGATGACTGTGAGGAATGCAGAAGTGAGGGAATCTCAGGACCATGTGGTTTGCTGGAAAAAGTTGTCCTCCTATTTCACCGGACTTGGGTGGAGTGTGTGCCCCAAGAAGCCTGCGTGGAGAATAAGTATTTCTTGCCTATGAAAAATCCAGCCCAAGGGCCGGCCCGGTGGCGCACTGCTACAGTACACCGCTTGGGAAGCGCGGCAGCGCTCCCGCCGAGGGTTCGGATCCCACATACAGACCGGCTGCTCACTGGCTGAGCGAGGAGCGGGGGCAACGCCGAGGGTTGCGGTCCCGTTGCCGGTCCCGGTCCGGTACGGGTGCGACACTGAGGGTTGCGATCCGTTGCCGGTCACGAAAAAAGACAAAAAGACAAAAAAAAAAAAAAAAAGAAAAGAAAAATCCAGCCCGAGTCATAGTCCCAGGAAGGCACCTAGTATCTTTGGTGGCAAAAGTGGAAGTAATGGTGGCAGATGGTCAGAGTCCTGCTATTTGGCACAAAATGGTGAGTGATGAGTCACAGATTCCCAAGGTGTTAGCACTATAGATAGGGAAGAAATTCAGGAATTTTTGACTCTTTAACCAACACCCCAGGCTAGGCCCAAACCTCAGACAAAGAGGCAGGTGATAAATACCATTTATTATCAGCCACTATTGATTGCTTTGCAACACAAAAACTAATAAACATACCAAAATCATAAAGTGATATGCACACACCATCAGAGAATTAACAGAAGTTATCATACTTGAATGATAAAGCTACCAGCTGCAAAAGATAGCCCTGAGCTAACCATCCAGGCAGGTGTCTGCCCTCTGCTGGACATAACAGTGGCAACTTGGACAAATGGGGAAGAAAAGGAAGTCTCGGGGATCAGTGCACAATCCTGGCTACTTCCAGAACTCCACAAACATAATAGGAAGGTCTTGACTCTTTCCCAACATAAGAACTTATAGAATAGTCAAGGGATGTAGGGATATAGCATTTCCAGACATATATAGTACTCAATGATCTCATGAGAAAAAAAAAAAAATTGCTAGTGACACTTAGAATAATGCCCTGCAGCTCATGTCCCTTTCCTTCAACCCTTTATAGACTTGTCTTCCCTTTATGGATCACTCTCCCATTCGCTGAGCAATATGAAGCATTTTCTAGTAAAATGTATTCAGGAAGCTGCTAGACCAAAATAGGTTTAAAGTACTGGCTCATTCTGTGAACGGCCTGTCAGGGAGGTGAGCTCGGGAGGATCAGCAGATGGCATCTCTCAGCTTCTGCTCCCTGACTCACCCCCCCAGCACACGCTGAGGAGAGCAGAGCCAGCCACGTCTCCACACTCCTTTCCTGTCTCACTCTCTCTTCTTCAGCCATCCCCTGGGGTGGTGTTCAAATAAGTTTCTTGATGTGATGCAACTCTGCTGCACCTGGAGCCTTCCTCCCTCCCTCACACTATTCTTAATCCATCTGCCATGAAATTTTCTAATCCTCTCTGTTTCCAATACTTTTAATACCTTAGGATAAAGTTTGCAGGCTTGTGGTGCAACCACTACTGTTAGCCATAAAACCATCTCTTCTGAAAGACTGTGCCATTTAGTTCTAGTATTCCAGCATTTGGGGAATAAGCCTCAAATATCTTAAATTTTTGTCTGATTATTCAGCTTCCTTTTTCCACATTGAAAAGTTCTATCTTTTCTTCAGTCTACTTTTGTGTGCAGGCTACTTTATTCACTGATCGGTTTAAGAGCTCTCTGTGGCTCGGTTCTAGTTTTGAGTGAGGAATGAGATTGACATTAGAAAGTGAACATACGCAATTCTGTATCCCCGAACCCAGTTGAGAAACTGGCTTGTCAAAATAGTAATTTTTAGAAAAGGACACTTACTATCCAGACTGTTTTATGTAAGCCAAATCTCCAAAAACCTCAAGCCTACCTACCCTTTTAAGTGCTGACACTTAAAAAGAATTTTGACTACTTTTTAATTTTTAAAAAGTTGAAAATATGATCACTTCCCTGTCTTATGAAACCGAGTACAGCAAACACCATTTGGATTGTGGATGACTCGTGGCCATCGTGATGAATGTCATATGGTTTTGCAGCAGCAGGTTGCTACTTTAAAATAAATAAATAAACATTAGTTCCGCAAGCTCCTCCCTCTCTATCCATATGACTCTAAATATATTTGCTGCTAGAAGTGCTCTCCTAGTCTTTCTCTTAAGCTCTCTACTGTATTCTCTTGCTAGTTTGCAATCAGGGTAAATCATGACCAAAGTCATCAGTAACCCTAAATGGATATGAAATTCCATGTCTCTAGACTCTGGTCTGAGAGTGGTTCCACACTGGGTAAACCAAGAGAATTTTATGTCAGTTTTATACTCAGTATTGAATTTGTTTTATTTTATTATTTTTATTTTTTAGTTATGCTCAAAGTCTAGTAATGAAACTTTCTAATAGAAAAGCTTTATGAACAAAGAAAATACCACTGAAGACATAAAATGTAAGGTTTAGTTTATATTGGGGAGCAGAAACACACACATTTTGCGAGTCTTCTCCCCCAGAGCTGACTCAGGTGTGAGACGCACCATGCACAGTCACCACCACGCTCGCTGCTCTGCGTTCCACCCTCTACGTCAGCTTGCAGCACATTACTCCGAGTCTGTTTCTAGCCCGGACCTCGGCCAGGACTATACTCAGAGTCCCTAAACCACCCCCACATTCTCCTCTTTCAGTGTATCCTCCTCATTGCAGCCTGACTTGTTTTCCCTTAATCCTGCTCTAAGACTTTTGCCAGCTCCCCAGTGGTTACTGATTACAGTCTAAACTTCTCAGCCTGGTGATCAAACACCCACAACAGTTCAGTCCCCATATTGTTTGCCAACCTAATCCTCCAGTTTTCACCTAGGTCTTTTTCTGTACCACAGTCACATCCACTTATAAACTGTCTCCAGAAAAACAGGGGCCCATGGCTGCCTCAAGACCTTTGTTTAAGTTTTTCCCTCTGCCTGGGATGTCCTTCTCCCCCTATATCTGCAAGTCAAAGTCTCCCCAAAACTCCTTCCAATTCCATCCTCTCCAAGTAGTGCTCATGATGTGCTTCCATTCTCCTTCGGGCATGGTCCCTGCCCCCCTGCCTCACACCTCATGCCTGATTTATCATATTACCATGTGGCACAGTCGGGGCTATGTAAAAATGTTCATCTCCTCTCCCAGACCTTGAGACCCTGGAAAGCACCAGGCAAGCCATTCTCCTTGCTTTCCCCATGCCACCCAGCACAGGACCCAAGGAGACAGTGTATTTGACTGCAGGAAAAGGGTGGGGATTGGCACCCCGTGCACTAACAACAGTGCCAGGCCCCCGCCCAAGCACACCTCCCTGCTTTCTTATACTTACGGTTCCCACAGTTGAGACCACCAAGGCCGAATGGGCAACTGCAAGTGAACAAAGTGAAAAGAACAAGAATTAGCTTCAAATCTCAAAAGAAATGGCTGAGGCAGTTTACCTAAGTAATTTCTATAAGATTTGTAACAAATTCACCAGAATAAGTAAACATGGAGCCTACCTCATACAGGTTTCATTTTCAAGCCTATATCCATCTTCACATGCTGAAAGAGAAAACGAAAACCCATGAAGGTGTCTATTTACCTCTCTTGGCCCAAACACACAGTTAATTAAACACCAGCCGCCCTAAAGTCCACAAGAATATTCTAGAACCAGAAGGCTGTAAATAGTTTTAGAATTATTTATAACCTGACCTAAATACTGTTGCCAGCTCAACTCTTAACCTTATCAAGAAACTTTTCTTAACCTCTTTGTGACTCTCAGTTTCCCACTTATAAGAAGAGGATAATAATAATAATATCTACCTCATAGTTTCCTGGAGGGGATTAAGTAAAATAAGGCATGCAAAGAGCTTAGCATTGGCCTGGCAAACAGTAACCACAAAATAAATGTTTGTAGTTGTAATTATTATTCAATAAATGTACGTCCCCTCTGTATGTATATATGTATCTTTGCATATACACAAAGACAAATGTTTCACCCTCTTTAATGCAAGTCAAACCTTAAACCTGACATTGGCTCCATTGGCCTTCTTCCATGAGGAGGTGGAAGCTGTGGGAGACATCCCCTGAGGCACGATGCTGGTGGGTTGTCTGGTTTTCATAAGAGAATGCTCACCCTATAGTCTGTCCAGGGGATTCTGGACATATCTAGACATGCCCTAATCTGCACCTCACACAAGAACATAACTTTGAACCCTCTGGCAAAGCTGCTCATAGAATGCTAATTCTCTAAAGGGCCTGTGGCCCAGCCATTCCCCTGAATCAGCAGTTCCTGAATTTATTTGATCACAGAATACTTTCAAGGGCACTACAATAAGATGACAGAACACCATGAGTTATAATGCATGCATGCATGAAAGCAGACAATGAAAAATGACCTCATAGACAAATTCCTTGATGCAAGGAATGATAAAAATTTGATTGATGATTAATGGACAGTATACACTGCATAAAAGATCTCGGATAAGAGAAGGTATAGAGCATAGAGCCATAATCCCTGAGCAGATAGCAGACAGGCTAATGGTGAGGTGTGAGTGCCAAGAGCATGCATGGCTGGAGGTGGGCTGGGGGCATGCCCTGCAGGCTGGGTCCAGAGTCTCTCACAGACTTCCCAGCATCCTCCCTTACAGATTAGAGCATGATAAAATTATGTAAATGTGTTTGATATTCTTCCTCCTCTTACTTCTTTAATGTTAAAACCTAAATGTTTCTGGCATCTATTTTATTGTCCTAGATCATCTATTAACTTATCATTAGAGTTTTGTGGGACAGTTTGGAAAACATTGTTCTAAATAATCTGTCATTTATCTTGCAGTAGATCATTAGAGAGCTGTGAACCTGGTCTGCACTATTTTGGCTCCACAGAATCGCTTTTCCTGAGCTACATTCTCTTGTATTAAGGGCTGCTGATTACAAGAAGCAGCCACGAGAAAGTCCCTATGGCATTTATTGCAGGAAGTCACCAACCATGTTGCCACAATACCACTCAGTAACCTCTTGATGATAATGCCCCAGATAAATTTCTCTCGGGCCCCAGTGCCTAGAAAGATGGGAATGCTACTGAACACCTACACTTTCTTTTATGGACCCCAACTCTTTTCAAGATCATGTTTCTCTCTTTGCCTCCGTGTCCAGGAAGCTCAGAACTTGAATGAGTGCCCTACCTTTAGCAAGCATGCAGGATTTATGGTGTATCCTTTCTGTATATTCATTTTCCTTCTGGCTTCTACAAAATAGTTTGTTTCCCCTTCAACCTGATTTATTTTTAAAATATTTTTAAATCTTATTTTATTACATGAATTTTTGTTAGATGCTTACAATTTTTTATGCAACAAGGTAAAGCATAATCCTATCTCATTTAGGAAAGGAGTAATGAGGCACCATCTCCCAATCTTTGATACCTTTGAGTTCTCCGCTGGGCTTACTTGGGCAGAGCCTTCTCTTATAAACAGGCTGAGTGCTCCTGCCTCTCCCCAGCAGGTGTGGAAAGCACAGTGCCCTGGCAGTCCTCCTCCCGCTGCATGCTCTGCCTCCAGCTACAGCAGGGCCGTGGGACTGGGGAGACCACCCAAGGATGGTCCATGGATCAGCCTGCAGGGCAGCTACACAGGGCCTGCTTGCTTCTCTAGTGACTCGTCCCCAGCCATCTCGGCACCAAGGCAGGCTGATGTCATACCAGTCGTTCTATTCTAAACACTTCTTCCTGGAAATGTTTTTACATCAAATTTACCCACCCAACATCAGCCCTCATCTGCTGGGTGGGAGCGCTCTAGTCCTTGGCTTTCATCCAGCCAGACGTAAGGCCCATCTGTTGTCCTGCTTGCGAGCTGATGGGTTGGCTATTTTCATTTAGCTTCAGAAGTGGCCTGACTCCCTGATGCAATGATATTTCTCTATTTCAAATGGGCTCATTCAGGGGCCGGCCCGTGGCTCACTCGGGAGAGTGCGGTGCTGATAACACCAAGGCCCCGGGTTCGGATCCCACATAGGGATGGCCGGTTGGCTCACTGGCTGAACGTGGTGCTGACAACACCAAGTCAAGGGTTAAGATCCCCTTACCGGTCATCTTTTAAAAAAAAAAAAAAAAATGGGCTCATTCAATTGTTCATCAAAGGTTGAGTGCTACTGGGTGCCTAGCACTGTTCCAGGGGCTCCTGGGGAAAACCTGTCAGTAAGGTACTTGTATGCTCCTTAGGATCCAGCTTCTCATCTCACATGCCCCCCAGAAAGACTCTGACCGCAGAGCACCCAAGAGGAAATGAATATGGCAACAGCTAGTATACACCTTCAAACTGGGCTTCCCCTACTGCTATGGGACACTAACAAATACAAGACTTCTGACTTTAAAAAAAAATAAGTAAATCGTGGAATCTTAAAAGCTTTTGTTTCCTTGCAGGAAACTAAGTCAAGACACGACAATCTTTTCCTATAGATTATGTGCTGCCCTATCATTCATTCATTCATTCATTCAATCAATAGACATTCATCGAACTCCACAATGTGCTAAGCCCTATTCTAGACACAGTTCTGGCTCTCAGGGCACTAGCAGTCTGGTGAGAGAAAGAGACATGCAAACAAACTGTTAGAATTCATGATGGTGCCTGCATGAGAGGAAGAGGCACCTATAGGAAGGGCACCTACATTAATTTTATATGTAACTTTAAAAGGCATTGTAAAGACATTTTATGGGAGACACTAATAAGCATGCATGCATGCATATGTGTGTGTGTACACAACAGAGAACAGAGAGACATTTTAATGTATAGCTTGAATTGCAATAATTTAGAAAAAAAGACACAACACCTTTCTTCTCTATTTATATGAAGGATTGAGCCCTGCTTTGAGGTGTCCAAAAGGGATATCATTTTAAATATCGCTATGCTCCAGCACCAATGGCCAGAAGATGTCACTGCTAACCCATCAGAGCCCAGCCAACGGGGCTATGGCCCAAGAAGCTTCAGAATCCATTCATCAGAGGCCTGATGGCTACAAATACTGCCAAGAAGAGCCTTCACAGGGCCTCAGCAACAAGCCCAAAAGCTAATCAAGGTTTCTTTATGCTGTTTCTTGGGTCATTACTTGGTAAACACAAGGCTGCTGGTGCCTATGTCACTGCACTTGGTAAATCTTTGATAGCCCTGCTATTGCTAATTCTAGCCTACAAATGACACAATTATGAAATCAGTGACTTGGAAATAGAGAGAAGTAGCTCAGGCCAGCCAGAAGCAAAGGTGGCAGGGCTGTTCTTAGAGCACCGCTCACAGGTGCCACCATGCCTGCATGCCCTCACTTCTGCCCACTTTATGTCCCCATCTGCCAGCTGCACAGCACCCGAGCATGCATAGATTTTAGCACAGTCACCTTCCCACATGAAGTTGGGCTCAACTCCCTATTTCTAAGAAGGGCAAGGAACACTTTGCATTAAATCAGATAAGACTGACTTGGGCAGCATTATCTCTCTGTAGCAAAGTGGCAGTCTGGCACAGCGCTGGGAAATGCTGCTGAGAAATGCTGAGTCCCAGTCATGCATCAGGACTGAAGCCCAACACATTTGGCCCTCCTCTTCAAAACCCATCACAGGTCCTGCCTGGAGAGCTGAGGACATGTACTTTAAAAGAAGTTTGTACCTAAATGTAACAAAGTCAGAGAGTCTGAAGTGAAGATGAGAGTGCTGCCCCAAAACGTATTTTTATCGTCTTTTGATGAAACAAGTCTTCTAATGGAAGTCCTGACAGAAATAAGTGGCATGTCACCATGCCCCGGTATGTGTTTTTCACTCAGATCCCAGTATATCTGTCACCAGCAAGATGGTGCCTTGCTACTCCTTTCCTAAATGAGGTATTGACTGAGGAGGAAAACTGTGCCATCCACATTCCAGCAGAGGCAGTGCTTCAAATCACAGGACAGCCTTCATTTTGCCAGCTTTTCTTGTCAGCACGAATTGCAGCAGCAGTCTTTTATAAGTCAGGGCACACAGTGCTCTGGACCTGAATTAATTTTATTTTAAAGCACTATTCTTGGACTACACTCACTGAGCAGTCTTTATCTCAAACTGAATGAATTTAAGCCTCACCTAAAATGTTAGCAAAATTAGATTTCTGCTCTGAAACACTTCATGAAACCTTTAAAACTACAACTCATTCATTCATCAACAACCTGAGTAAAATACATAAGCAAATGCTTATGGCTTACAAAGTAACTTTATATACACTGCCTTCTTTAACTCTTAGAATATTCAATGAAGTATCATTACACCCATTTCACAGAAGAGGAAACTGAGGCTCAAAGAAACAAAGTGATCTGCCCAAGACAGTACAGGACCAGTCAGGCAAAGTTGGGCTCTGACTCAGGTCTTCTGAGTGTGCAATCTACTGAGCCACAGCTGCCTCTGAAAGATACAGGCCTGACTCCATGCATGTATTTCCACTTTAAAAGATTAGCAGACAATAGAGAAAGCTTTGGGGATTAAAACAATAATTCTTCTAACTTCCTCTAAATGAAAAAGGAGAAAAGGCATTGCTACCACAGGCATTCCATTCTTTTTTCTTTTCCTTTGAATTTGACTGGACAGACCAGCATGCACCAGTCAGAGATAATGCTATTATTCTAAGGAGATAATGTATTTAATCCTGCTGTGAACAAAACAACAAGAACTAGTCACCCTCAGTTTAGAAGAGTCACACCTAGAGCAGAGAGAGCACCAGACAGATTCCCAGGACAGGGCACAGAACTGCCGGCGAACCTGAGGCTACCTCGGCAGGAGTGATCCATCTTGTTGAACTGAAAGTAGCCCGACTTGCACTGGCACAGTGCGACACCGTCCAGGTCAGTGCAGATAGAGGTCTCTTTGTCACACTCGGGACTCTTTCGCTTGCACAAGCTGCCCGCTGGAATGGAAAAACAAGACAGTGAAACAAAACAAAAGCTCCTCCACTTCCAACCTTAAGATGCATGAACTTTCTATGTCAAGAGGCTCTGAGAACGGTTTTCTAAAACGTCTCCACGGAGCAACACTCCTCTCACAGCTCCATGCTACACTACCTTCTGCCACTCCTTCCCTGTGTCAGCCCCAGACCTATTTACTAAAGGTTCATGAGCATTCCCCACTGAAAACACCCTCACAGCATGCCACGGACACGGAAGCCAAACTGGAAAGAAACAGTGCGGTCCTCTCCTCCGGTGCCCGCTGCAAATATAACCCTCAATGGCGTGGTGCCTTTTGTACCTTCATACTAAAGGATTGCAAGGGGAGAATCTGCAGCAAATGTGACCGTGTTGTTAGGAAGCTAAGAGACTTAAACCAAAAACAGCCAGCTCTGGTCAGACCTGTCTCAAGCAGAAGGATGTCTCAGTGCTGTGTGTCTGCATGGCCTCAAGGGACGCAGCTCTAGTCCTTGTGGCAGGGGAGTTTGCTGCCCTAACAGTGTGCTGCCTAACAGAGACTTATTACAAGGAAAGGCATGGAAGATAATCTGCTTGCCCAGGGCTGCAGTGTAATTATGTTTATCTGGCTGTTTTCCCCCTATATTGATGGTTTCTTGAGGCTTATTCATCTCTGGGTCTTCAGTGCCTTGCACAGAGACTGGCTGTCAGTCACCAGGCCACCACCAAGAGAAACGGAGGTTGGCAGAGAAGAAGCCCATCTCTCAGGCTTGCTCCCTCATTCACTTTAGGGCCTAATTTCATAGATGACAAAGAATCGTTTCATTATATCAAAAAGCATTCATTGTTGGACATGTGCCCCTCTATGAGGCTGTATACAGCAGACACAACAAGGGTGCATTTTACCATGTAAGACAGGCTCAACAAAAAGGACATGTGTAAATGGGGTATACAGACAGAGGATCGAAAACATGAAACCAACCGGAGAGTTAATAATAATTTATTTGCACCCAGGTACAGGGCAGTACGAGGCAGATCTGTGCTGCTGTTGCTGCTGGAGGCATACGCTGTGTGGTGAGGAATGGCTGCAATTTTCCAAGCAGTCTCCCTTCTCCCACCATAGAGAAGACACCAGCGTATTCAGAAACCAGGTACCAGCTCTTAACAATGCAAAACTGCCCCTGCCCAGCAGACTCGTGATGTGAGCTGACACCCAGGCTGGACAGCCCACACGGAGGTCCAGGTACCTGCCCCCTCTTGTGAGTCCTGAGAGCTCAGGCCTGGTGGAGGTGAGTTTAGGACACAACTTCAATCCTTAACACTGAATTTCCTGTCTTTATCAGTGGAAGCTGGCATGCTATATCAGAACCCCATTTGTGTGTGCAATAGAATTTCCTTTGTTTATTGTAAAAAGTTTGTATTTAACGGGGAAAGACTAAAAATGGAAAATCTTACCAGGCAAACACTGCAAAGCTGGCACCAGGGAGGTGCTAAACTTCCACAATCCCTCATTTGAACTCTTTGAAGGCTTTGCCAGTCCTCAAGCCTTAGTATAAAGAAATACCTCCAGGGCAGAAAGTTGTCCAGGCTGGCACTAACCTTGTCCAGCGGCCAGCCTGAGTTGCCCAGCCTGATTACATATTTTCTGGAAGCCAATGTCATGTTGCCTTCTATCCTGCCCATTAATCCAGCCTGCCGGCAAATATTAATCGTCCTGCTGAAGCAACCCTTCCCTCACAGAAGCAGATTCACACAAAAGCAGAGAAAGCAGGCCTTGCCCCTGCAATGGAGGAATTGTTATCCTTCAAGTTCTCGAAGAACACCCCATCATAAATCATTTTAAGCCTGGAGATGCGATTTTTCTACATTCACAATTTACATGGTCTTTCCTGGGCATTACATCTGCCAAAACAGACAATGAGAACTTAAGTAAATCTAAGGCTGAGACATTCCATGGGGGATTTCCAAAGACTCTAAACTTCTGGAGACAATGAGAGCTGAAATTCTCTGTAAAGCAAGGAAGTGGACATTTTGTGAACCGAAGGGAGAAAACACTCTACTTTCCAATGGCAGTGTCCAGAGTAGCCCAGTGCTGACTATGTGCTGCAAACACCCAGACATCAGAACCTGACAACTGTTGCTAGTCAGGCCCACCTCTCTGTCTCTCAGAAAGGGGAGCAAGAGACCATGCTGCGTTTGCTGGCGAAACCTGGAGAAGATCTGGAAGGAAAAATAGGGAAGCGAGACTGGGAGGAAAAACAGGGAAGTAAGCCTGTTTTCAGTCAATATGCAGGACTGTCTTTGTTCTCAAGGGCTCTGAAAGGACAGGTAAAGAATGGGGACCTGGGCAAGGAAGCAAGGACAACAGCTTTCCCATAAGCCACAGCTAAGCAGCCTGAAGAATGGGGACCAGAGAGTGGGCAGTTCTGCTATGTGCAGGCTCTTACACATCCAAATATCTGATTGTTTGATTTGCAAGACACAAATGCATTTACTGGGGACAAAAAAGGTAACCTGGTACAATCAATGCTGACCACATGGAAAGTACTTCATAAATATTTATAGAAATATTTAGTAAATTGAAGGTATCTACCTCAATGGGTAGGAAAAATTGGTACCCTTGGTATCCTTGGCAAGAGAAACAAAACTGTAAAACCAAGGTGCCTCAAGGTTTCAAGCATGATGTGATGGGAGCATGAACTTTTAAACTAATATCCCAGTCCACAGCAACTTCAACTCCAGAAAGCTTAGATTTTTTTCTTTCAAATTAGTATCTAGCCCTTAAGTGGGCAAACTGTCAGCACTTATCCCAGAGTAAAAGGCTAACTACTTGACTCCCAAGTTCTGTAACATGAAGGCCCACTCAGGAAAGCTCTCTGGACCAGCAGTCAAAAAACCCTGACTCACTAGGAATGTCCCAGATCTACCAGCAGATAGAGCGCCAAAACCCAATACCTCCAACTTGCATCTAGCATCTGGATACCAGATGAGGTTTAGACTAGATTCTACATCCTTTGCCACCCCTAATTGTGTAGTAAAATGAGCTAACCAGAGCCCACTTTGATCACGTATGAAGCAGCAACTGGGACAGGTCCCCTTTGCGAGAAGCACTTTTGATTCCAAAACAGTTTTCCCAGAGGCAAACCCAAATCTGCCTTCCAAACTTGTCTAAAGCCTTTCTTCACTTGCCTCACTTGTGATGTGCTGTAGAAGCTTTTGAGAAAACAGACAAAGCAAGAACAAGAAAAGGAAAATCACCATAATCACCATAAAGGAAAAGCACCACTGTGAGCATTCTGGCTTGCGTTCTTTTGATCTTGTTTCTGTGCATATATAATTTAATAACAAAAAACAAATAAGACAGGTAATACTGCATGTGATTTTTTACTTAATAGTATATCATGGGCCGGCCCGGTGGCGCACTGGATAGTGCGCCGCTTGGGTAGCGCGGCGGCGCTCCCGCCCGAGGGTTCGGATCCCACATACAGACCGGTTCCCGCTCACTGGCTGAGCGAGGCGTGGGAGCAACGCCAAGGGTTGCAATCCCGTTGCCGGTCCCCGGTCCGGTACGGGGGCAACACTGAGGGTTGCGATCCGTTGCCGGACACGGAAAAAAGACAAAAAAAAAAAAATAGTATATCATGATGAAGGTTTCTGGGTCATTGACAAGTATGTACATTCTATGTGTGAGTTTTTTTTCTCCCCAGAGAGAGCAGGAACTTTTCAAGGCAAAGAAGAGTGATTTCTGCTTTGGTACATCGGTTCCTACAACCCTCTTCTTCCCACACCAACACTGTATAGAAGAAATAGAAGGGGCACATGCCAAGGACCACGTGCCTTCAAGGCTGTGTGTGTACAGGACTCTCTGTGTGTATGTGTCTGAAAGCCTTTTGCTTAACAGCCATTTCAAGGATAGGCTCTGTGATGAGCTTTCCCGGGCTTGAGCCCTGAATGTCTTATGTTTCTATCCTAGGTCTGTGCCTAATGGTGTGGCCAGGGTCCTCTCAGAGGGCCACTCTCTTACCTCTAAAGATCCGCCTCTGAGATCCCAAGAACTGGCAGACTTCAGCAGAGGACCTGCAGGAGTTGACACATTGCTGTATCCCGTCGGCCAGGTCAAACAACGTCACATTGGAGGCCAGAGAAAAGGTGGTTTGCAGTGAGATGGCCACCACACTGGACTCCCTACAGGCAAAGTTTGTGGTTTTTCAATTGTCCTAAATTGACAGGTGGGCCCCAGGGCTTTTGTAAAATGAGTATCATTCTCCAGCAAGGGAATGGGTGAGCATGAAGGTCCAGTGACCTTGGCCCTGGGTCAAAACAGGGCCCAGTTTTGTTGCTATCGCCCATGTTAGAACAACCTCCCCTTCCTGTAGTCTGGTTCACAAGCAAATGTAACTTTGTTACTTACCTAGAGGCATGAACTGTGGATCGGATATAACCAGGTAACGTTGAAAAACACACATTTAACTGAAAGGAAGAAGAAGTCTGTCATTAACTGTGAGTTAGACAGAAGCCTTGGACCTAGAACCAATTTCCTATTATCAGGATAAAATAGGCATTTTCCAGCCATCAAGTTATCAACAGGCAGCTTTACACAGAAGTCGTGTCCTTTTTTTTGTTGCCCTCTTAAATGTCCTTCTGTTGTTCTACGAGTACAAAGGGAGAGGGGCAGATAGTAAATCAGTGGGGAAAATCTTGGCAGGAAATGATGTTCAGAATAGCACCCTTGGATGCAAAACATCTTCAAAGGAGCTGTTCTCTTCTAGGACCGAGGGTTTCAAAAAACGCAGAAGCAACTGTTTATTTGGACTTTGCATAATGAACGAGCTTCACTGAACAGGCTCAGCTCCTTTCAATTACCCCAGGTCTGATGAGCCCTACACACAGCCTCATAATCTACAATGAGTTAACCTAACTCAAAGATAGGTCTTCTTCACAAAGGCTCTCCATGGGAAACTGCATTACATGGGTCAAGAGCCTTTTTGTTGAGAGCAAATTAAGAGCTACTCTCCTTGTGTTTGCCTTGTGCCCTCAGAGACAGCAGAAAATCCCTCTACAGCATAAAGTAACATGCCTGCTTCCTTGCTCTGCTCCATAAAAGGGGCTAGAGATTCCTTTTATGGAGCAGAGGGTTTCAATACTTTGTTCAATGCAGACCCACCTGTCTTCAAAGCCCGTGTCTCAGAGACATCCCACTCTTCAGAAGATGGAGTCAAACAGGGATGTTACCCAACCCTTTCTGGCTTTGTATGACACTGCTCTGTAGCTTAATAGTAATGATTTATTGCTATTGTTTTATTATTGACTTTCTCCCCCTGGTATTGGTGAACAGAATGACATCTTGGGAAGGACCATTTGAGTGGCTTCCCCAGTCACTACTTTAATCTTCACTATTTCTTAGTGCAGGTGTATCACATCACCAATAAATTATATGTTGATACTGAGCAAAAAAACCCTGCAAGTCAGATAAGTCACTGAGCACTGTGTAATATGAAGGACTGCTCCTCTGCCCAGGGTTCTAAACCCCTGTACCATCTTAGAAGGAAATATCTACCTACAGCACAACAAAGAAGCAGCTATGGAGTGACAAGAACACAGGTGTACGGTTAGTAGACATGCAACGTAGTAAAGAATTAACCCTTGCCCAATGAGAGATCAGGCCTTTGCCCTTGGTGCAAAGTTAATCTCTAAACCCTTGAAATGTCCTGCCTGATAAAAATATCTTTGTTTAGCTGGGGTCTCTGAACCACGCCAGAAAGTCTAACAACGTGATTTATCATGGGGATTTGGCTATCATGGTATCAGCTCAATAAGGGGCTAGAGACTGAGTCAGTTGCATGGAAAGTCAACCATGTTTACATGACAGTGCCCCAGTAAAGGCTCTAGACTCTAAGGCTCACCAAGGTGAGTTTCCATGGTTGGCAATACTCCATGCATATTGTTACACACTGTTGCCAAGAGTAGTTACCACTGTCTGTGACTCCACCGAAGAGGACAATTGGAAGCTCCACATTTGGAACCCTCCTAGACTCTGCACCACGCCATCGCTTCCCCTGGCTGATTTTACCCTGTAGTCTTTCCCGGTAATTAACCATAACTGTGAGTATAACAGTTTTCAGTAAGTTCTGTGCGTCCTTCTAGTGAATTATTGAAACTGAGGGTGGTCTTGGGGATCCCTTAACTCACGATTGGTATCAGAAGTGAGGGTGGTCTAATAGGCTATTCCCCAACTTTGTACCTGCTGTTTGTGAACTCAAGCAATGTCTTTAACTTCCAGAGCCTCCCAGTTTTCCATCTGCAAAGGTGTTGGCAACAGCTCTTATAGGAGTGAGCCATCTGGCATAGTCCCTGTCTCAGAGTAGATGCTCAGCAGATACAAAACGGAATTGGAATCTGTATTTTATACAAATAAAATCCACAGTCCTATAAAAACATATAATTTTGGATAATATAATAACTCTTACCCATAAAGAACAAGTAAACTTGAAGTCAGAAATCAATTAATCTCTAAAACTTATTTTAATAGCAAATTCCAATTTCTGAACACCAAATCTCTGACTGGGATAGCAGTTGAGAAGCAAAATGTATTATCTGGGCCTCATTTTCAATTCTTCTTTCTTACTCTGCTTTTCTTTTCTTAATGTTTCTGATAAAAAGTAGGCAAAGAGAGAAAGAAGCAGAAGCAAAGGCCCCTAGATAATCTGTACAGTGAATTCTCAAACCCTAGATAACCAGGATTTACTGTTATGCCTTTGAGATTCCCTTGAGGAAAAGGAGTATCATTCTCCCCAAGCTCCAAAGCACAGGGAGAAAGTCACACAGCATGTCAACAGCAGATGCACAGTAGGACTTTCTGGGTCTCTCTTCTTCAACAACAGCCTTTATTGGTGCATGTCATCTATGTCTGTGACTACAAGTTTCCACGTGGACAAGAAACACCAGGACACAAAGACTGCACATGAGGACACATTTAAGTTAACACTTCTACTGGGCACCACTAGTTCTCCATATTTCTGTTCTATTTCCAGGAGGCTTTTATTTTACCATTAAGTTCCCCTTTCAAATATAGTAGAAGTGAAGAGCCAGGAGATGCACCTGACCAACTCTGAATGAAATCTGTTCTGGAAAACAAAGGACTAGCATGAAGATGCCTTTCAGGAAACTTACTGTTTTAGTGATGTCATTTTCAAATTCATGTAGGTCTGAATGTTTCTCCACGGTAGTATTAAAAAAAGTCTTCTTTAATTTGAACTCTGTCACGAAGGTTCTAACTGAAAATGAAAACATAACCTGTTACACCACACAATGGATTGACCTATGCAAGGCTGTGTGCTTATAAGCCTCTGGGGTAACCAGCTTTACTCCCTGCAGTGGATAGAATGTCCCCCCAAACTCACTGAGGCTTAATCCCTGCTGTAACTGTTGAGAGTGGGAAATCCTATTATGATAATTGAAAGGCAGGGCCTCAAAGAGGTGATTAAATTGATGGTTTAATGGTGGCTGTGGGCGTGGTTCTGAGGGCTTTAAAAGGAAAGCTCATGAGGAGCTGTCTCTCTCTCTCTGCTCCACCATATTCGCCGTGTGATACCCTGAGTTGCTGTAGTCATCAGAACAAGACCCTCACCAGATGTGTTCCCTGGCCTTTGGACTTCCCAGCCTCTGAAACTGTAAGCAATAAATTACATTTTCTTATAAGTCACCCAGTTTCAGGTATTGTGTTATAAGCAACAGAAACGGACTAATACACTCCCCTCACAGGACAATCTCTGTGTGTTTCTTTCTCCCCGAGGGTAGACACCGCCTCTCCCTCTTCTAGGTTCCTCTCTAGCAAAGTGAGCATCTACTGAGCTGAGCTTAAGGCTTAGACTGAGTAAACCTCTGGGTGAGAGACTCCAAGAAGTCCTTTGTGTGTCTGCAAGGGCTGCTGAGAGACAACAGCCTTCCTGATATCCCTCTAACGGCCTTCCACATAAAAGACGTTCAGAATAGCTGTGACAAAGAAGAGTGAGCTGGTCTAAACAACGTAAGTAAAGGATGAGGGATGGAGATGTGCTAGATATTAAAAATGCTCGTCTGGCTCATAAGGCTTTAGGTAGAGGAAAGCTCTTGCTCTCTGAGGTCTTTAACCAGGGTAAGCCCTTGACTTCTCATTACGGCTACCCCTATCCAACCCCTGTTCCTCTTGCTCAAAAGAAATATCTGTTTTACCATTGACAAACGAAGCTTTCAGAGGTCAGGTAACTTCCCAAGAAAGATCAGCCAGATCCCAAGGGCCAAAGTTAGCATTCAAACTCATGTGTGTCCATCTTCAGAGTTCTTCTTTCCCTACTCTACTCTCTGCCCCGAGGAGTCTGACGGTCTAAGGACAGCCAAGAGGCTTCCGAAAGAGATGTCAAACATTTGTAGTGGGCCTGTACTCTAGGCAGTTGTCAGACTCCATGATCATAAGCCACATAACGAAAACAGCTCATCTTCAAGACACTGTTGGGTTCAGAAATGAAAGAAAGCAGCTCCATTTTTGAGACCCATTTCACTCATAAAATCAAATTCTAGTTAATACCAATTTGTGCTGATTGGGCCTGAGGGGACTAGAACTTACAAATGGGCAGGCAACCAAAAACTGGTACAGCCTTCTTTATATCTGGCTCTTCTTCCCTTCCTTTACATGAAATTCTTATCTTTCCCTCTGGACAGAAGAAAAATAACCCCAAACACAGAAGCCCATGAAGCTGCTCTTGCACAGAAAGCTTGCATGCTGAATTAAGAAAAAGGCCCACAAATGAGCCAGGGAAAACATTTAACATCTCATACTTACTGTCTAAAGCTCTTAATCCTTATTTAACATCTTTTTGCTTGTTCTACAGCTCAGTGAAGCCAGCTGCTTAGGACTCTTTCTGAGCAGCAGGGAGCTCTTTGAAAACATTCTTGGCCAAATGAACGCATTTCAGCATGCTGTAATTTGCATGTTCCTCTGATGTTTATGAACAATGAAACTAAATGACTTGAAAAGGGAAAGAACATTGAACTGCTCTCCTCCTGATCCCTGCTACCTATGGAGAAACACAGGCTTCCAGAACAGTCGCTCCATGCCTTCATCTTCATACCTCACATTTCTAGGCTTATACCTAAAACTTCCGTATTGAAATACACATACTGTAAATGTTAGGTACACAGAGCTCTTCTGAACTATGACAGTAAATGTGGCCTCTGCTTTCAGGGTAAATATGAAGATTCATCAGTCTCCTCCCAAACCCTGCACTCTCTCCAGGCTGGGTTTTTTGAAGAAATTTACACCTTCAAGCCTGCAGATATATCATTCGGCTTGAAGTCGAATTTTTACTTCAAATTTAACTGATTTCCCTATGTTATCTAAATGATTTTTTTGTTTGAAAGAACCATATTATTACTTCGTGTTCAGAGTGGTTTATTGTTTTTATTGCTTTCAATTCCGGTTCATGAGTTTGAAGAGTAATGTTAACTGATACCTTCCATCTGGATAGCACTTTACCATTTTCAAAGCCGGCTCAAATACATTATTTTATTTGATCTTCATAATAACCCTGAGTGGGAACCAGAGCAGATGGTAATCTGATTTTACAGATGAGAAAATTAAGGCTCAGGAGTCGTGTGCGGCGCTTGGGAGCGTGGTGGTGGCCCTGGAGGTGGACGCTAGGCATGTGACTCCTGGGCAAGAATACTTACCATAATGCTTCAAAACAAAATCATTTCCATCTTCTCCATTCTTAAACCCAAAACTCCTGGCTTATTTCTTATAGAATGTGGCTAAATGGAATAGGTTACCTATATGCAAATAAATTATCAGAATAAGAGAAATTCTTGATTTTGACTAATGTCTATATTTCTAGATACTTCTTTTAAAAATAATGCTTTGACTCAATCCTTGCATTTTAAATAATTTTCAAAATTCTACTGTTGGGCCGGCCCGGTGGCGCACTCGGTAGAGTGCGGCGCTTGGGAGCGTGGCGGCGCTCCTGCCGAGGGTTCGGATCCCATATAAAGACCGGTCCGCTCACTGGTTGAGCGCGGTGCGGGCGCGACACCGAGGGTTGCGATCCCGTTACCGGTCACAAAAAAAGACAAAAAGGAAAAAAAAAATTCTACTATTATTTTAGTAGAGTACCAACCTTCTTAAAAAGTCCCTTCAACCTACGGGTAAGAGGAATTCATATGGATAACACTTACAAAGGACACCAACATTTCCTCTTTCAAAAAGTATTAACTGAGCACTTTTTGTGTGTTTATCCTACTGGGCAATTTAAGATGATTCAAAGATGAGTTATTTTATCTGCCAGTTCCCTTATCCAGCTTAGAAACTCTGCATTTTTCCTTTCTAATTTCCTCAGCAAGTTACATATTAAACTCGGTATTCTAACAAGGGATATACCCTGTATGTAGGAAAGCTCTTAGGATTAACACATTACTGTTTAGCAGAAAGAACCGTGTGCTGGGAACTAGGCCTCTCTTCAACCAGTTACATAAGCTTGGCCATTTAGTACCTTGTCAGGACCTTAGTTTTCATTTAGTTTGATTGTTTGCTTTTTAATCTGTAAAACAGAGATTGTATTTAAAATCAGCCACCTTCATAAATCTATCAAATTAGGAAAGAAAATATGACAAATTGTATGGTACAATTACAGCAGCTTCGTCAAAATGTATCTGCCTGTGGACAAGAACAAGTTGATCTTTTTTTTTTAATAAAAAGAATGAGTGAATGCAGTAGGACAATTAGGATTTTATTTTCTCTTTTCTTCCCCTAAAATGTTTTTTTGACTATGTAGTCAGAATATCTTTCTGATATTTTTTCCCTAGCTGCAGGGTGAAACAGTTAAGCAAATGTTATGAACAAATGATGGCATATTATGCAGTTATTAAGTTGTTCATATAATATTTTTAATATAAATAGAAAAATATTTAAGATATAGAGTTTGTACATATATCATATGATTTCAACTATGTAAAAACATAAGGCACATCAAAAATATTACAAAGTAATGTGCTTATCTTTGAATGTTGGGATAATAGGCAATGTCTTCCACTTCATTCTATATTCCATAAGTTTATACCTTGGACAAATATTGGTTTTGATTAGGAAGAAAAACAGAAAATGTGACTTTGTAAAATATATTGTGGTGTGGAATATATGATGTTATATATAGTCCAATGTGGACTAACTCTCTTACCCAAATTGCATATTCCTTTTTCTAACTGGTACCCAACAGGGCATTTGCAGATAAAGGATCCCTGAGTATTGTTGCACATGGCCAGGGGTGGGCAGGGGTTTGAGAGGCACTCGTTCACATCTGCAGAGGACAAAAAAACAAGACCATATGGAATCTGTTGCAGACAGCAAAATAATAATCCAGTACATTAAGAACCTTTTCAGGGCCAAATGGTACTCAGTGAGGTAGGGACCAAAAGTGAGTAGGAAACTACCCTTGTCCTCAAGGGGCTGATCATCTATTGAGGGTGGAGGCAGCCATATAAACAATTAACTACAAATATAAAGCAGGATTTGGATGGACAGAGAAAATAACAGATTTTGATGGAGGGAAGAATTAAGGATGGTTCCAAATAATATCCGGACTAAGATTGGAAGGATTTTAATAAACAGATTTGGGAGGCGGGCAGATTTTAGGCTGAGACACTAGCATGGTAATGTCCAGGGGCAGAAACACATAGGGGTCTTTGGGGAGCTGTAGGGGGTCTGGTGTGGCAGGAGTGTAGGGAGCCTGCAGAACGGAACCAGATCAGGAAGTCTGTTGGCGCCACACTACAGTACCTGACGTTATCCCGCACAAAACACACAAGCATACTAACTCACAAGTAAGCAGGGTATTCATTTTAAAATCTTCTTCCTCTCCATTTTGGAGGGAAAAGGAGTTTATTGAATAACCCAGTGTGACACTGGAGTGCAGACCACTGGACATTGCTTTTTCTCTTACCCACACTGCAGTCATCCCCTTGCCAGGAAGGTGAGCACATGCATCGATGGCCACGACTGCTGAGGTCCACAATGCATTCTCCATCATGAAGACAAGGGTTTGTAGCACAGCTGTTGACTAAAAACACATTCCAGAATAATGCAGTTAACCACACAGGAAATATGAAGTCAGCTCTAGGTAAATATTTAATTATCCCAGCTAATATTTGATTCTTGCTTATTTCTGTTTACTTGCCCTGAAAGGCCACACTACTAAAGTAGAATGGGTTCTCAAGAGGTGCAGAAGATGGGTACAGAGAGATTGGGCACAGGTCCTAGTTTGTGTCTGTATATAAATGTTAGACAATGGGATCTCTAAACACAAGAATTGGCTCAAATCAGTTGCTGCTTAAGGTCACTCAGTTCAGGCTTGACGATTATATTGCCTTTGTGATACTTAGAAAATTCAATGACAACTTCAAACACGTTAAGGGAAAAGGATTCCTGATCAAATCATCTTTCCTGCTGTAAGATTTACTCAGGGTATGTGTGTGTGCGTTCGTGTGTGTGTGAGCACACGCGCATGCACACCCTGCCTTTTCCCTTCGACTTTATCAAAACCATAGTATTCATATATGTATACTCAATTATGATTCAATTAAAAAAAAACATAGTATTCTTTATCCAAAAATTTCCAAATTTGACTGGGCCTCCACATATTGTGTGTCATTTAGGAAATGATCAGAGTCGAGCACTACAATGTCCTCTTTCTTTACATAACATAAAAATGGACCCTACCTGAATTCATCTCGGCCCTCAGGACACAGACTTCAGTGTCAACCTTGACTCCCAGCCCCCAACAGTAGTTACCACAGTTCTCTGTTTGGCTCTGTATAACTGGCACTGTCACATTTCAGTTATGCAGTAACTGCTTTATAAAGGTTTCTGACATAGAAAAGCTGAAATCTACAACATAACTGCATCGTCCACAAGGAGGAAATCAGTGGTAGAATGAAAAAAGAAGGTGGAAGTCAAGAGTCCTCACTCCAAAAGAAGAACCCTAAAAACAGACAGGCTAACCTTAAAGATGGTGTTCCTATTATTCATTGCTACTTTAAATATTACCTAAAATCACATATATGAACTCAGCACCTCTATAACCAAACACTGCATCCATGAACACTGGCACAAAAAATATATTAGCAGCTAGTGAAATCTGCTCCTAATCCTCACCTATAGTCTTGTAATGGCTACGATCAACTTTAAGGGAGGTTCCATCTGGTATTGGAAATGAAGCCTGTGAGTCCTGAAGCAGGGCTTCCAAACTTCCCTGGAGAAGGAGCCACCTTTCCTCTCCCAGAGGTTCTCAGATCACTGTACAAAGGAGGCACCATGGGACTGGCAGTGGGGGTGGTTCAGGACCCTCTGGCCCCAGGTTGACTGTGGCTGACTAGTTGGAACTGTGTCACTCACTGAGCTCCCTGCTCTGGTCTCTACAAAGCTTCTCTCTTCTTCCTCCTTAAGATGCCAGTCTCCACTTTACCCCTTAACCAATAGCAGTTTTACTTTCCTGGGTCTGGACAAGCCAAAAGTGCAATTTTGAACATGACATCAAATGATATATCATCCTACTTCCTTCTACCTCTCCTTAAATGACAAAGAATCATTAGGATGGCATTATTCTCCTCGTACCAGCAACTTCAATATGTTTATAACGATAACCTTAAGTGCAACGTGAATGAAGGAGGCCTGGTTACGCAGTCCCTGTGGGAAAAGGCTAGTTCGTGATCTTTTTGTATACACGTCCCCCACCCCAATTTACTAACTAGCAACATAATCTTCAGGAAACAAAGGAGTTTGGGCTTCCCCTGATCACAAGAAGCCCTCTGAACCCAAGAAGCCCCCAGGTGGCTGGGGAACCAGCTGACTGACTCAGCGCTCTAGGCTCTGATCTGGGAGCAGGCACCCAACTCACTCCCTGTCTCCAATAAGGCACCTAAAGCTTCTTTACTACAGTTTCTCCACCCTCCAATCCTGCATCACAGCCTGTTCTGACCTCAGAAGAGTTAGAGGCAGGCTTGAAAAGCTCTTGCAACAGGACATTAAGAGTGACAAGTGCATTATCTACCAATGTCACACATGGCCAATGCATCCTCTCTTCTTGCTTCAGGAAGAATTATGTAACTCAGGGTGAGAAAATTAGGTCCACCGTGACCTTATTTTATGCTTTAAATGCATCCATGGGAAGCATATGAGGTCACATAACAGACACTATTTCAAATACCAGCCATTTCCACACATTTACATGAGCCCCAAGCCCCAAGCAGCTCTCAGTGCTGGACAGAGCCCAACAGTCAACGTGTGCTTGTGAGATGTGTTTTACCTGAGGACGGAGATGACAATGCTGTTGGTGACTGTGTGCTGCTCTGAGTAGCCAAGGCAGTAGATTTAGAAGCCAACACTTCAGTCATGGGAACATCGGTGGTTTGGGGAGGAGATGTTCTGAAGAAACGTGAAGCTGGGCTGTACTCTTCTGTAACACCAAGCCTTGTGGTCAGTTCTTTTGCTGATGTGGGTATGCTGGTTGGAGGGATCAATTGGGTGGTAGCATCTGTATGCACTGGGTTCCTTTTTGTGGTGACACCACCTTCGGTTGAGATTTGTGGCACTAGAATTTCAGGATGGGTCAGCAAGAGTTGTTTTCCAGCTGTGGTCTGTACAGCTACAGGGCCAGTGGTCAGAGCTACTGTGCTTGGTGGAGTGCCAGGAGTGGTGATGGGTGGATGAGAGGTCTCAAAAGTGGTGGCTGTCAAAGCTGGAAACATTTGGTCTAAGCTCGTGCTCCCGGCTGGAAGGGTTTGCTTGGTGGAGGACTCTGTTAGGGCTGGGGGCAAAGGGACCCCTGAAGGAGAGCTCAGTGTTACAGCTTTGGTAGACTCTGTGAGCAGAGACACCAAGCTCGGTGACTCTGACTCTGTAATGATTTTCTCTTGGTGTGGGGTGCCCTGGTTCTTAGGGTCTGCTGTTTGACAACTTTGGTGCTCTGCCACTGTCGATGTGTGAACTGAAGTCACAGGCGTCTCCCTCGCCCTGGGCAGGACTGTGGTAGAAGATGAACGGGGTGAGGCTGTTTGTGGGACAGGTAGTGGGGCAGGGGTAGATGCTGTCACAGATACGGGTACAGGCGATGGTGAGGAAGGCAAAGGCACGTAGGCCTCAGAGGTGGACTTCAGGGGATGTGCAGACGTCCTGGTGGATGGTAAGGTTGGTGAGAACAACTGGTGAGACTGTGACACTGAGGGCAGAGGCAAAGGGGGCCCTGAAGAAGAAGAGTCACCAACAGATCCAGCATCAGCATCCAGAAGAACCAAAGTATGTGGCATATTAATAATGGTAGATGTGTAGGACGGAAGGGTGGACGTCTGCGGAACCAGTGACTCGGTGGAAGGCTGTGTGTATTCCCCATCCAAGGATGAGGTGTTACTTCTTTCAGTCTGAGCATGAGAAGAGGAAAAATAGTCTGAATGCGAAGAGTCTGAGACATTAATATGAGAGGTTGAGCTCTCCTGGACATCCGAGGAGGAACTGTTATCCGTAATGGACAGTAACGCCCGTTCTCCTTTAGTGAAAGTAGATGAAAGGTAGGTGTGATCAGTGTGGCCACTGGAAGTCTTCTGTTCAAGATCTGTGCCACTCACTTGACTGTTGCTAATTCCAGTGACTGCAAATGGAAAAGCCAAAGTTAGTTCGACTAAACATATAAGAAACCTCTGAAACACGCACTACAAAATAGGCTTTCAGTGCCCTGTCCATGAACTCAAGGGGGTGAAGCACCTTCTTTGGACAGGTGGTTTTTGATGGTGAACACTCCGAACAGAGACAGTACGGGAAGGCAGGAATGGTCAGTGTCTGCTCTGAGTGGATTTACCTCCTGGGAGGACTAGTGGTGGCAGTAGTGAGAACAATAATAAAAGAATAATAATAACAGTAATAAAAGAGACCAGGGGACTAAAACTAGGGGGCAGTTCCAAATTTCCTCCACATGCCTTTTTTGATAAAAGCAAATTGGTATCTGAAAAGCCCTTAAGACCCCAAATAGAATCACTGTTATGTCTAAATGGGAAAAGGAAAACCCTCCCAATTTTCCATTCTGTGTGATGAGACATTTCTTCTCCAGCAGATTGGCCTTAGCCACAAAGTGGCAGGTCACCTTCATGTCTGGCTTCCCTGCCCCACACATACTGTCCCAAATGCCTCAGGCAAGCGTGTGGCCGATGGGAGGGGCAGAACCCAGAAAGTTCTCTCCATAAAGGGCTTGTGAGGTACTTTCTGGGTGGACAGCCGACTAAACCATCCTAGGACTGCGAGGGAAGTGTCAGATGAGCTGAGGAACGAGGAGAGGCCTCTGCGAAGACACAGCACCTCCGAGGGCAGGCGCGGCAACCAGGCCCGTGTGGTCGGTGGCTCCCGTGCGCTGAGGGGCATGCTCTGCTTCCCGGGACACCGTTGCTGCCGGGCTCCCCACCTCTCCGGAGGTCGTGCTGGCATTGCCGAGGGGGACAGACCGCCCCGTGCGCTCTCCGCTTCCAGTGATGGTGGCCGAGGTGTGCGGCCTGCTCTCTTCCACAGCTGCAGAGAGAAGGAAAAGGGGCGGCCGGCCAGTAAGTGTGAGCGACAGTGACAGTGACAGCGGTGCACACTCCCGTGCTCCCAGTCGTTAGCCGAGTTGTGCGCTGCATCTGCCCAGTGGCCTGGATTTGTGGGAAAGCTCATTACTTCGGCCAGTAGGATCAGTACTGGATTTCTGCTTGGTGATACACAAGACACAGAGTTTATGTCAGGGAAATTGGTGGCTGCGGGAAAAGTAAACGGTGGGCAAAAGACTAACAACCCTCTTGGGGCTTCAGACATTGGGACAAGGCTGTCCCTCCTGGTGGGACCAGCGGTACATGAATTGCCACAGGGCCTGCCATTCTATAGAGTTAGTACGCCACCCTCAGAGGTGACAGGTGGGCTCGGTTTTTGTCTTAATTTTTAAAATGCATTTGTTCTATTTTCTTGATGGGGATGGAATAGGGAAGGTGACACATGAATATTCTTTTCTTCCTTTTAGGGTATATTCATATGTTTTATGCTATAGACCTAAAGTCCCTAGAACTGTCTTAAATTATTATATTAGATTATCAAATAAACCTTTCTTTTCAGAAATGACAGGGCCAGCCCGGTGGCGCACTGCTACAGTGTGCCGCTTGGGAGTGCGGCGGCGCTCCCGCCAAGGGTTCGGATCCCACATACAGACCGGCCGCTCACTGGCTGAGCGAGGTGCGGGCGCAACACCGAGGGTTGCGATCCCGTTGCCGGTCCCAGTCCGGTACGGGCGTGACACTGAGGGTTGCGATCTGTTGCCGGTCACGAAAAAAGACAAAAAGGAAAAAAAAAAAAAAAAAAAGAAATGACGAAAATGAGGCCCAATTCTTCTTGACCTAAATACTTCATAGTCTGCCTCTATGAGAAAACAGACTCTTTTCCTGGTTCTCATTCCCATTGTCAGCCCAGACTAGCCCTTGACACCCCCGTGGACACACTTTGATGGAAAGCAGATGTAAAGCTGAGTATTAGGTAATTCATCTCAGGATAGGTTTGAATTAACTGAGAGACAGGAATGAGCATGGCAGCATGACACACAGTGACCTAGAGCAGCACTGAGAAGGCCAGGACCAGGGTGAGATGTGACTCGGCTAGGCTGAGGGCCTCGAGAGATCCGTGGAGAGTCAACCAGGAGAGGGCAGAGAGCAGAGTGTATCTGAGCACGATTTCTCTGGGCAAAGAGAAAAAGGCCTTGAATGGGGATATCTTAAATATTCTATGTTAAATGAAATCTATTTAAATAACCAAAGTGAGGAATCATGGCCTGAAACAGAGGGGCTGAATCTGAACCCAGAGAAGAAACAAACTGAGAACTCTGGAAAGCTGGATTGCAGAATCATCCAGCTTTGGGTGATTCAGAGGAAAGGAGATGAAGCACTGTGTTAACCTCCAGCAAGATGGTTTCAGGAATGAGGCTACTATTATCATATCTTATCATTTTCCAGCTTTTGATAATTGAACCCCAAGATCTGATCACAATGAAATCACCTTTTCCACATGAGTCAACTGAGCATTAACTGCGGAGAGGAAGGGTTCTGAAGAGATGTAAAAGGGAAAGGCTACAGAACCTAAGATCCTGGTTTGAGCAGGTAAAAATCCTAAGCGCCACAGTGGTTAGGGTGGAAAATGATCCCTTTTGTTTAGGAAATAGATAATGTGTTTTCCATACACAGACAACATTAAAAAGTATAAATATCCTCCACCCATATGTATGGTATTCTTTCATGATAAGCATATACTTTTCCACGTCACACAAGTAGTAATAAACACTGATTTTTCTCATTAATTAGGATCTCATATGGGGAAAATGGAGCTGCTATTATCAGTGGTGGAGAGTTAAGACTTTAACCCTATTAAAAGCTGAAATGATAAGTTAATGCATTTTTGCTTTAGTCAGCATACACTCTACATTGATAAGACTGCTGAGAATTGTTCTTAAAAATTACCCAAAAGAAAAGTTTTTCCAAATTGGTAAATTGAACTTCATCAAAATTAAAAATTTTTGTGCTACAAATTATACTATTAAGAAAGTGAAGGGCCGGCCCCGTGGCGTGCTTGGGAGAGTGCGGCACTGGGAGCGCAGTGACGCTCCTGCCGCGGGTTCAGATCTTATATAGGAATGGACGGTGCGCTCACTGGCTGAGTGCAGTGCGGGCAACACCACACCAAGGGTTGCGATCCCCTTACCGGTCACGGAAAAGACAAAAAAAAAAAAAAGTGAAGACAACCCAAGAATAGGAGAAAATGTCTACAAATTATATATCTGATAAAGGACTAGTGTCCAGAATATAAAAAGAACTCTTACAACTCAATAATAAAAAGACAAATAACTCAATTTAAAAATAGTCAACAGATGTGAATAGACATTTTCAAAGAATATATACAAATGGCCAATAAGCACATGAAAAGATGCTTAACATGATTAGTCAGCTGCGAAATGCAAGTCAAAACCACAGTAAGACACCCTTCACACCCACCAGGATGGCTATAATAAAAAAAGATGGACAGTAACAAGTGTTGAAGATGAGGAGACACTGGAACACTTGTACATTACTGATGGGAATATAAAGTGGTGCAGCCCCTTTGGAAAACAGTTTGGCATTCTTCAAAAGGTTAAAAATAGAGCTACCATACATCCTGGCACTTCCAAGAGAATTGAAAACATATGTCCACATAAAAACTTGTACCTGAACGTTCACAGCAGCATTATTCATAATAGCCAGAAGGTGGAAACAACACAAACATCTACCAATTGATGAAAGGATTAAAAAAATGCAGTAGATCCATACCGGGGAATATTATTCAGCCATAAAAAGAAATGAAGTACTGATACATGATACAGCATGGATGAACCCTGAAAACATTATGTTAAGTGAAAGACACAAAAGGCACACACATTGTATGATTCCATTTATAGGAAATGTCTAGAACAGGCAAATCCACAGAGATAGAAAGTAGAGTAGTGGCTGCCAGCAGCTGGGGGGAGGGCAGAATGGGAAATGATGGCTGAAGAGTATAGGGTTTCTTTTTGGGGTAATTAAAATGTTCTAGAATTAGTAGTGATGGTTGCACAACAATATGAATGCTGTATACTAGAAAATACTGAATTGTATACTTTAGATGGGCCAATTGTATGGAATGTGAATTTTATCTCAAGCTATTTAAAAGAAAAGGGAGAATTTCTTTTGATAAATGCCCAGACCTGGAGTGAACAACCACTCATGAGAAGTTTACCCTCTGAAAGCTCTGTGATTGAGACAGGTATGGGGGTATGGGGTGGGCTACGGTGAATGGGAGGACATGGACAGAGAAGTCCCTCAGCTGCATGTGGGAAGAGAAGGTAGGACCAATGGGTTCTTGGAGATGTACCAGGAAAGAATTGGGGATATCTGTATCAACCAGCTGTTACAATGGCCTGGGAATAATGAAACTAGAGGGGTCTAAGGAGTTACTTCCTTAGTGCATGGTTTTAATACACCACAGAAGATCATAAGCATGGTAAGCCCCTCTCTGTATGGTACAGTTATGCAAAATGAAACTCACTCGAACGTTCTCCACGTGGTGCTGAGGAATCTAGGCTTTCTGAGGAAGATGTAGACAAAGACTCTGAGTGACTTTTATCACCCAATGCTGTGTTATTTCCTCCGGACTGTCGAGCAGAGTTCAAGAACTGGGTCAAAACCGAAGCATTCACAACTTCAGAATACAAAGCAGAACTTCCTGTCACATCTGCAAATGTCTTGTTGTTGGTCAAGAACCAGCGTGCTGTGCTCTCTCCACTGCTGACGGATGGGACTGACCTAGATACAGTCTCAGTCTGAGACACAGAACTTCCATTTTCTGCCTCAGAGCTGCTGGTGAGCGGATGTCCTCCAAAGGCTGTCAGGTATCAGGTAGAAAAAAATGCTATCACAAAGATATCCATGACAGAGAGCCCGCAACAACTAAGAAGTGAGTCCTCCCTATGGAAAGATTCCCTCTTCCAAGGAATCTCGTACAATACTTACTATATGTATAACCTGACATGCACTATCACATTCTAAATAATTATTTCAAAACTTTTGGGTATCAGCAAGATAACAATATTAAAACAAAAGTTGGTGAAAGGGACCTTTTAAACAACATGTGCAGGTATAGGCTTGAGTGTTTTATTCTATTTCCCATATAAAATGGTCAAGAAAATCAGTGTGTCATTATGCCCAACAAACACGATGTGCGTAAATAAAGTGCATAGTCAGAGCACTTTTCTAAAACAGTTCTAATATTAATAAAGATTATTCTAATTCCAAAGTACTATGTAGAAAATAAATAAATAAATAAAGTACAAAGAGCAAACCAAACCATGAATTTGGGAACTATATTTTTATCTGCATATTTGTTTGTAAAGATGATTTGTACACAAAATAACTGAAGCTAGTTTTAAAAAGCGGGCTAGCTCTCACTTTGAAGACAATGCTGTAGAGTGAAAAGAAGATGGAACCAACCAAAAGAGCCCCGAGGCACAGGTCTCAACTCTGCTGAGTGAGTTAAATGGCCGTGCATCCATTACTGAAACCCTCTGAGCCTTAGTTTCCTCCTCTGTAAAAAGCAGGAGGAATAACACCTGTCCAACTAACTTCACAATGTTCTCATAAGGATGAAAATCAAAATGCAATAATATGTTATACCAGATAAAGGAGCTGGTGCCATCAAAGAGCACACTTGTACTTTTCTATGGAGACTATAAATGGTCTTGAAGAGATCCAGCAAGAAAATTCAACTATTTTTAATACTCCTAATAGATCAAGTAAAGATGGATTACTTACTTGGGGAATCATTTTGCCAGTGTAAAGATGTAACTCCAAGTTCACTGTCAGTGGATGGCTCCATGAATTCCCCATCCCCTGGAGTCCCAGTTACTCTGCTGTTTCTTCTCAATTCCACCGCAGAAGGTGAAGAAGGGACTGAGACGGAAGTTGTGGCAACTTTGGGGTGTTCAGGGAAACCCTCTGTCTCGTTTATAGGTCCCAGACTGACAGTTAGAGACTGAAGCATCCTTGCGACACCATCAGTGAACGTGGTGGCAACATGCGTACTCTCTGTCTGACTGACTGAGGGGCTTTGGAGATCAGTAGAGTTTTTGAGCTCCTCCATGCCTTCAGAAGCTAAAACAAAAAAAAGTATGATTCAAAACTCCTCAGGGGTTTAAGAAAATCACGGATGTATCTAAGTACAATAGTTTTATTACATTTGGGTAGATAAATCTAACTGCATGGACCTAATATATATTCAATCATTTGTGTGTGTTTACACACACATGTGCAACCAGGACACAAATCTAACTGCATGGACCTAATATATATTCAATCATTTGTGTGTGTTTACACACACATGTACAACCAGGACTCACTCCTTCACTCCCTCCTCACTAGCTCTAATTCTCAGAGTGCTAAGTGGAAAAGCAGGGAAGATCCACCATGCACAAAGAAAGGTTCAAGCTAAGAAGAAGATAAAATAAAGCAAGGCAAATACATTATTTGCCTTGGTTTTCATAGAAGATGAAAACTTCTACTGCTGAATTCCACATTACAGCTTAAACAGAACACACCACTGTGATGATGTTTTTCTTATTGTTCTGTTTTGTTTTAGCAGTGTAACCCTTTTGTTTAAATGCTATTATAGATTAAAATCCAAAGCATAAAGTGAATAAAAGTGGGGCCGCCACAGGTTGTCCAATTCCCAGGTCACCACTGAGGAGGTCTAGGGTTCTGCAGAACACAGCTGGGACACCACTGGCCTAGAACAAAAATCCCTAGCCTTGTCACCATCAAGGGATCTTTATTATTCCCCACCTCACAACCATCATAAACTTTATGTTTTGGAAGTCTATTAACCAAACTGCATTTATTAAGTAACAGAACTTCTAATCAGCAGGAGATACTCATTATTACCCCATGATTTGATTTAATTCCATCCAAAACCAAACAGACTTCATTATTGTAGTTAGCCTCATTAAGCATTAGAGACCAGTTCTCAAACCTACATACTACCCCAATGGGCCCCTAAGAGATCAAGGACTCCAGGCTGGGAAGTTTTTCTGATCAATGGATGGCAGCCATTGGATAATCGTCATGAACCTCAAGAACTATATACGTCATTGGTCAAAATATGTAGTCTGCTCCACAGAGGTATGGTGGCTTGAGGATGGCTTCCTTCCACAAAGAACTTCCCAAAGGATACCCTGAGAACCCACCTCCAGAAGAATAATTAAAATTATCATTCCAAACAGGAATACAATGCAGGAAAGCTTGGTGAACAGGAAGAAACATGGAGGGCAAAACCAAAGGCAAGAAAAGAGTGTGCTTTTTATTCCTTTTAAGATAAAAATAATACAAAGTACTCTATGCCTATATAATGAAAGGCTTCGAGCTGTCAATTAGGATCTAGAAAAGGGGGAAAGGAAGTGTCATTATAAACAGTTCTTTGAAGACTAGTCCTATGTGCAGTTGTAACCAAAAGCACAAATAAATTTCAGATATAGTTAGAGAAAAAGAGAGTGCACAGAAATAAAAGGTTCCTCTTACTCTCATACAAAACCATCAAACCAGCTATACCAAGAACATAGCCCACAGCTGTGGCTGCTGCACTTCAATGAATACAAAATAAAGATGCAGACAATCCACAAAACCAGTCATTGAAACAAAGGAATAGAAACACCCAGACAGAAAAAGAGTCCTAACCTATCCAAACCTACCTCTACTTAAAAACAAAAAACAAAACAAAACAAACAAGCAAACAAAAAACACTTTAGTATAAAAAAAGGAAAGCATAATATAAATATGTCACAAATGCTCACTCAACCACTTAGCTTGGCAGGCCTAACTTCATTAGAGTTATCCTCTATATCCACCAAATTACAGCCCCATCAGATTGCTGGATTTTCTTTCAAAACACTTTTATTCCCGATAAACTGCATTATTTCATCCATTCATGTTCCCATCAAAACACCATGGCAATAATACTGGATTCAGCCTGAATAATCCAGGCCTGTCCGCCTCTGGTGGTTTTAGCAAATCGATGGCCACAGAAATATAATCACAGAAGTCACAAATGCTGAAAGTCATGAAGGGAAAATGCTGTTTTCCTTGCCCTGGGGGCTCTGTAGAACACTGCTGTCTCATCACATCGTCTCAGCATTTTCATCATTATAAAAGGCTACCATTTACTTACCAATTACGATGTGCCAGGCGTTGTGCTTAGTACTTTACATATTAATCTCATCCTCATGGTAAAGCTATGAAATGTGTGTAAATACTTCTGTACAATTGGTGCCTCTCAATAAAAAGAGGAAATGTTTAGTCAAACTAATCTACAATCACCACTTGTATTACTAAATAGGCACCTGCTAAATAACTCTGGAGGGAAATTTACCATGATCCTAATCAACAGGCCAGCATTATTGATTATTAAATAATTGCCCTTCCTTGCTCATTTCTACCCTTGAAGGAGCCATTCAAAAAAGGGAAGACCATCCGTCTGGGAGCAGAAACAAGCCACGTTCCTAGTGTCTAGAAGAGGACATGGAAAGAATGCCTGTTCATCTGGTAAAAGTATCTGCGTCACTCTCCAGTCACAGCACAAAATGCCGGGACCTCAGGCATACATCAGAATGCTCAACCTTGACTTGACTGCTATCCGGTACTTGCCAAGTACAGCTGAAGCAGATATTTGAGAAAGATATTCTAAATCTACAATCTTCTGAGTTATTTATGCTCTCTCCCTTTACAAAGTGGAATTACCACAGAGCAATTTACCTGGACCACATTAGCTCAGCTACCCACAGAAATACTTGAATAAGTTGAGATCCATTATTACACCAGCAGCTCCTACTGAAAATTTATATAAAATTTAAGAACATGAGCAAAATTTCAATAAAACAGCAATCGAAGGCATTTTCCATTATGATCCTCAGCATCACTTACGTAAATAATCCTCTTAGAATGTACTGCCCCCAAAACACTTCTGCCCACAGATGAAACTGTATGCTTACTTTATCTGGCAACCATCACATGCCCCACCCGGTTTCCCTTTGTGCCCTGGTTTCCAGGAAGCTCAGTACTAAATTTAGTGCTCAATTGTAGCCACTCTCACACAATTCAACATACATATATCTCTTTCCACCTCCAAAGAGAGCTTTTCCCCCCTGTTTCTTGCTTTGTTTACTTCTTCCCCAGTGATCGAATAGTACCTGGTCATTACAGAAAATACGGAAAGTACAGAAAGATATAAAGCAGCAAAAGATGTAAAGCTGCAAGAAAAATAATTTCAGATGATTTCTGATCTTTTTTCAAAAATCGGATCCCAGGGCCGGCCCGGTGGCGCACTGCTACAGTGCGCCGCTTGGGAGCGTGGTGGCGCTCCCGCCGAGGGTTCGGATCCCACATACAGACCGGTTCCCGCTCACTGGCTGGGCGAGGTGTGGGGGCACCGCCGAGGGTTGCAATCCCGTTGCCGGTCCCGGTCCGGTACGGGCGCGACACTGAGGGTTGTGATCCGTTGCCGGACACGAAAAAAGACAAAAAGGAAAAAAAAAAAAAAAAAAATCAGATCCCATTGCCTGGGCCTACACCTGCTTTAATACTGTAAGGCATACAATTTAGTTTTGGAAGTAGGTAACTCCTGGCTATCTCAGCCTCAGAAGAGGTGGTGCTGCACAGGTGTTTCCATGTGGCTGAGTGAAGAGCGAAAGGAGGCAGAGAATACAAAGGCTCAATGTTGTGTGGAATGACAGATGCAGAAACTAGAAAGGATCTTTTGGATCACGTGGTCTAATCCCTTCATGTTTCAAATAAAGAGCCCCATCCTCCCATGGCAGGCTCCTAGCTCATCATCCTCACGCTCACCTAGTAAGAAGCGTCACTAATCGGACTGATCTAAGTGCAGGGCGGGGTCACATTTCCTAGTGGACAGAATGGCCAGGTGTCAAAAGGCACAAGCCTGCGCTGCACTCCCTTTTCACTTCTGTTTTCCACAGAGCTGGCCAACGAGCTGAGTCAACTTGGGGTCTACCTGTGGCATGTCCTGTGGGCTCTCTCTCAGCACTCTTGCCCAAGTGCCTAGAGCTCCCGTATCATATAGTCAGAGGGTACAGTAAAATCTCAAGAGTTAGATTCAAGGGGAGGGAAGACGTATACCAGAGCTTTGTTTAGTGGGGTAGCGGGTGCTAGCCCAGCTTTAAAAATAAAGAACTTTTGGGCCGGCCCGGTGGCGCACTGGATAGTGCGCCGCTTGGGAAGCGCGGCGGCGCTCCCGCCCGAGGGTTCGGATCCCACAT